AATATATAATTTTAGAAAATATAAAAATATTTTAGCCCCGTTTATATAGACCCTTTTTTAGACTTTAAAGTTTTAGGAATTTAGAAAAAAATTAAATAAAAATTTAGTATTTTAATTAATATTTTATAAAAAATTATATTTAATATGATTTTTTTTAAAAAATAAATAATATCAAGTAAGTAAAAAAAAGTAATGATATAAACAAAGCCTTTATAAGTGGCCATTATGTACTTACATGGTATTGTTGAAACCACGTGAGCTAATTGTATGATAAATTTTAATATTAAATATTCATAAATTTATTTTTAAATACACATTCATATAGTGTTAAAAATTGTCACGTGGATAATTCATGCAATACCCCTCACTCTGTCACCATATGTAATACTCCTTCCGGCCCATGTAATAAAGACATATGAGCTTAGATTTAGGTAAATTATAATTAGTAAATAATTTAAAAGTATATTAGTAAAAGTTATTATTGTATAGTAAAAATAAGTATGAATTAAGATTAAGATAACTAAATAATTTAATTAAGATTAAAAAAATTATAAATAAAATTTAAAATTTGATTAAAGTGTATAATTATATTTTCAAGAAAGTAGATGAATTATATGCGGGAAAGACGAAAATATAAAATAGAGACAAATTATGTGGAATGAAGGAATAAAGTAATACTTTTTTATATAAATGAAAATTTTCAACGATTTACTACGGAAAGATATAAAATTGATTCAATATATTATTCAGTTAAAAAAGATCGAAATAATAAATAAACTAAAATATTAAAACATTTGTCTTAAATTTAAATAATAACAATTTATTTTCATAATGATTAGAGTTACAATAGTGGGATGGGGCCCACATTCGCATCGTTAGACGTACGACGTCGTTTGAGCTTCATGGTCTTATAATAATTAATAACCGTGATTTTGTTGTAGCGTTTTCTGGCAGCAGATGCGATTACGACACCAGCAGCTTCAGACGAATCTCATCCGTTGGACTGCTCAATAAGTGAACGGCTGCGATTGTATTTGCGTTGGAGCCCTATTATACCGCCATTTATTATACTCCCTCCGTCCGATGTAATACGAGTGTATTATTGTAGAGACGAGAATTTAGGTAAAGTATAATTAGTAAATAATTAAGAAATGTATTAGTTAAAATAATTATTATTTAGTAAAAATAATTATAGATTAAGATTAAGATAATTAAATATTTTAATTAAGATTAAAAAATATTTAAATTTTAAAATTTTAAAATATGATTAAAGTGTATAATTAATTTTTTAAAAAAAGAAATGATAAATTATGTGGGACGGATTAAAATAAAAAATATGGACAAATTATGTGGGACGGGGAGTAAATTTATTAGCCAGTTATATAGGTTTGTTTATTGAGTTTCTATAGTGTTTGTTTTAGTAATTTAATTTCAATATTTTAAGAAATAAAATAATTTTATATTTATAATATTTTAAAAAATATATATATATATATATTGAATATAATTTTTCGAGGAAGAAAAAAAAAGATAAAAGATTGAAAAAAAATTCAAAGTAAAGAAATCATTGTATTAATATTGTTTTTTTTTGCTAGTTAAAAATTTATGTTTATTGTATTTATAGTAAATAATTTTAATCATTTTATAATTTTATATTAGTATTTTAATAAGTAATAATTAACTTATCATTATATTTTATTATTTATTAAATTATCTTTTAATAAATTTATATGTATATATATAATTTATAAATAAAAAAATTAATAATTCAATATTAAATATATTATCGATACGTTTTTAATATAAAAAAATACTCTCTCCTATATGTAAATAATTTTTTATTTGAAAATGAAACGGTAATATATTTTTTTTAACATCTATATGTATGTTTATTAATCTCAATGTCTGATTTTTTAAATTGCATAATTATTTTTTTTAATTGTCTATAATATATAGAATAATTATGGTAATTCATATGCTATTATCAGAAATATAAATCACTACCAAATTGTCATTGAATTGAATAATAACCAACACAATTAAGAGAAACTAAATATAGTTTGACTTAAACCCCAACCATTAATAATTGATGGCTTTCACTAATTATAATTACGTTTAATAATTGGGTAATTAGGTGAATGGTGTTTGGAGTGGGTTATAAGATATAAGGTGCTCATTTGATCGGACACAGATTTTAATAAAAGTGAGTAATAATTGTTAATTTTTTCTTTTTACAGTAAAAAAAGTACAAAAATGAAATGATTTTTTACTTAAAAAAAATTAGAATATTTTTCGATAACAACTCAAAAATGAAAGTGAGCATAAATTTAAATGACGGGGAAGTAATAAAATATATACAGTATGAATATGATTTTATGGAGAATAAGTTTTGCGTCGTTCTATTTAATATTAAAAATATTATTATATTTGTATATATATATATATTTGTACAAATATCTTTATATTAGTATTATAAGACATTAATGAAAGTATTTTTGCAATTTTTTTTAAAATTTGTAATACGTTTTGATATAATAATTAATATTTAAAAATCAATATGCAAAAAAATTAATGAGACTTTAAAGCCGGACGAAGATAGTATATTTTTTACCCAAAGAAAATACAGAAATTTTTATAACTAATTAAAAATGAAAGTAAATTTCAACTAAACAAAGTCCAAGTTGAATAATAATAAAAATAAATTTTTAATTAAATAATATACATATTTAAAGTACTATTATGTTTATTGATTCAAAACAATTTGCTAGTAGATACAAGACAATGTTCTTGAATTGGGCCTAGTCCAATACAAATCTGGGCAAACAGGCTTTATGGGCCTGTCCAAAATGCAGACTGATACGAAAAGTCACTTTTACCCCTGCAGCTATTTTGTACTGTGTGAAACGTGTAATTTTGACTGATAAATGGATATGCATATTTGACTTGAACGTACAGTTAGAAAAAATTATCGTATTTTTTATATTAGATATAAAGAATTATATTAATTATATAAAATATACAGAGTAATATAAATTATTATATTTTTAAAAAGTAAAATATATACCCTCTCCGTTGTATTGAAATATTATTATTTTTTATTTTCGTCTATTTCAAAATAATGTTACCATTTTTTAATTTAATAATTATACTACCACCTACTTCACATAATAAATACTCTTTCAAAAGACATTATTTTTATATTACACCATACTAATAAGAGTATTTTTATCTTTTTTTTATTATTATAATTTAATATAATACTAATATTAAAAAAATCTACGTGCAAAAAGCAAACGACATCATTCTTACGGGGCGGAGGGAGTATTATATTTTTTAATAATATTTATAAACAGTTATTCTATTTTAAATTATTAAGTGAACAAATTTGTATTTTAGGTTATTGGAAGACATGTTAACTATATAAAGATGATATTTTAAAATTAAAATAATTATAAAATATACATATATTTTCTGGTGTTTAAAGAATAATCATGTAAATTGCATAATATCTTTTCATTTTTAATAAAAATATATAAAATATTATGTATTTTATTTATTATATGAATTTTGTATTTAATTAAATTATGCAAAAAAAAAAAAAAACCTCTTTTGTTCAAAATTAATGTTTGATTATAAACAAACACTTAATTATATAAATAACAAAAGATCAAATATTTTAAATACTATTGTTTGAATACAAAAAAAATACTAATTTATCTTTTGCGTTATTATTTTAATATTAAAAATATCCTTATATATTATAATTTTTTACATAAATGTTATTATAATAGTAGTATAAGACATTTACTTCGTACTATATTTTTATATAATAATTAATATTTAGAAATCAATAAGTAAAAATTAAATGAAAGATAGTAATTAATAAAAAAATGTCAAATATTTAAAATACCCTTGTTTGAATACAAAATAATAATAAATAATTAATCAATTATTATTTTTTATTTTTTAAAATAGAACTTTGGTAATAATTTGATTAAAAAAACTACTATTAAATAGATAAATAGATGATTAACAAGTTATTTATTTATTTTATTTAAATAACATTACTTAAAACATTTTATATCGTATTTGTATAATTAGATGTACGTTTACAATTAAACATTATTTTTGGACGAAGATGTTGGGTTTGTTTTGTGAAAAATTTGACATATTTTTTCAAAAAAAAATAATATATTATATACACTTATTATTTTTATATTATCTATATAATTTCGACATTTCACATAAAAAATATCTATTCAAATAAAACTACAAAACAAACAAACTCTGTTTTATTTTGTGCGTATCTTAATTTCAAGCAAATGATTTCATGAAATAAATAAAAATATTCGATGTTTTGTGCATTTTATTAAAAAATGTTACAAAATGTATGAATTTTTTAGAATAAAAAAGTTTTTTAAAAAAAAAACAAAACTCATGTAATACTTTGTTCATAGTTTAGTTTAAAATTGATTTAAAATATAAATAATTTTATATATTTTATCATTTCAATTTTAAATTAATGATATTCATTATGCACAATAAGATACTAAATAAAAATACTATTTAAAAGAAATTAAATATATATCAAATAAACAAACTTTTAACTACTCCTTCAATTTACAATCAAAAGCAACTTAAAAGTGTGTTTGTTGGGAGATTTGGATTTTGAATTAGAATTTGAATAGTAAAAAGTTTAAATTTGAATAAGTGTATGATGTGATATAAATAGATGTTGACGTGATATTTTTAATATAAAATTGATTCATTTAATATAATATAAAAAATAAAAAATAAATTTTTGATTTGATATTTTTTAAAGAAAAAAATTGGATGAATAGTACAACAGCCGGGAAATCCTCCAAATAAACACACTAACTAGTAAGAACTGGCGAACTGAATAAAGGGCAAGGCCGTAATTTCCCACCAGTACCTATTTTACCCTTGCCCGGCCTCAAACTTCTCTCCACTTTCTAAAATAGCAATTTTAATTTATTCAGAAAAAAGAACAGCAGAAGAAAATAAAAATAAAAAAAAAAAGAAGAAAGAAAGGAACGAAGGAAAAAAAAAAAAAAACTTGTCTCGAATTTCAATTTGACGAAGCTTCTCCCTGTTTCGCTGATTTCTCTTTCCTAAATTTCTCTACTCAAACCCTAGATCTGCGTTACGGGGTTGATTTTAGATCAATTAGCTGTGAAGCGGACGGTACAGTTGTTGAAGGAAGTCGCGCAGTTGGACGCAATTGACGGAATAATTTGGTGGAAGCAACAGCGATGAGAAAAAGGGCAATTGCTTTTTGTTGAGGGGTGTTGTTCCTATGGCGGACGGGCTATCCGTGATTCCGGCGGCCACTCTTCGTAATCTGTCGGATAAGCTATACGAGAAGCGGAAGAATGCTGCTCTGGAGGTACTTGTGTTCTTTTTCTTATTCTTTTTCTTTGATTAAATTCTCATTTTTGGGATTTTGTGTTTTTTCTTTGTTTTGTTTTGTTTTCTTGGTTGGTTGATTTTTTTCTTGTAGTTCTGTTTGATTATGATGTACTTTTGTGGATTTTGTTGGATCTAGGTGGAAGGGATAGTCAAGCAGTTAGCTGTGGCGGGGGATCATGATAAAATCAGCGGCGTGATCAATTTGTTGGCAAATGAGTATACGTACTCGCCCCAAGCAAATCATCGGAAGGTTTGTTTTTACCTTTTAAAGAACTGTCTGTTTATCATTTATTGAAGTCTGTTTTATTGTTTGACTATGGAGTTTTTAGTGTGAACTGTTGGCGGAGAATGTGATTTTCATGTGCTTTGTTCATTTCTTTTGCTGTCTTTAGGGAGGATTGATTGGGTTGGCTGCAGCAACTGTTGGTTTGACTTCAGAAGCCGCTCAGCATCTTGATGTAAGAGTGATTAGATACCATAGTGCTGCCTAGATTAAACTGATTCACTTCTTATGATTTTGAACAATTCAAGAACATTCTTATTGAATTATCTTCTTTGATACAAGTTAAATTGTGTGATATTAATAGTTGTTAATTGGTAGATACAAGAATTATCAAGAAAATGCCTAGATCACAGTAAGTTACATAGGGAAGAACAATTTAGCTGCTGACGGTCAAGTTTAGAAATGATTGTTGAAGGGTTGTCAATTAATGCGGTGGACTTGTTCTTCGATGGGAACGTAATAACACTGAACTCTGGATTGTGGTGTACTACATGATGACATTTTGAAAAGAGGAATTAAGAAATAATCTTATGTTTAAGAATTTTGTGGTTCAAGGAATTTAATAGTTGTTGTCGTTCCTAGTTCTTGGTGAACGAGTTTCTGACCTAACCAAGAAAGAAAGAGCTGTTTGTTGGTTAATAGCATGCCATTACTTTTCAATGACTGGTTTCAAAATAGTTGGCACTTAAGTGAAGTTCCTAAGATTGCTATTAAAAATTTTCCTTGCATATGTTTATTCTCCTCATCTGCTATTTTGTATTTGCCAAAACTCGTTTTTAATACCTCAGAATATGATGCATTGCATGATGTTAAGATACCTGGTTTGTTATGTTGTTATAGCTATCTGGAGTTTGCTGCTTGCAATTTACCACAATAGATATTAGTGTGGTTTTTTTTTTTTTTGTCATATCTCTTGGTAGATGTTGCTTCTTTTTATTTTATTTATTTATTTTGTGTTTGTGTGTGTGCCAGCAAATCATTCCACCAGTCTTGAATTCATTCAGTGATCAAGATAGCAGAGTTCGATATTATGCATGTGAAGCTCTTTATAATATTGCAAAGGTGAGTGAAGGTACTTGTATTACACACCATTTCCTTGGACATTTTCGATTTTTCATCATCTAAATTGTGCAGGTTGTGAGGGGCGATTTTATTGTATTCTTCAATCAGATATTTGATGCTCTATGTAAGCTTTCAGCAGATGCCGATGCTAATGTACAGAGTGCTGCTCATCTCTTAGATAGACTTGTAAAAGTAAAGTTCTAAATTAAGATCTAAATTTACGCAATGATGTTCTACTCAAATGATTTTTAGGGATTTTTAAGATTAAGTTATTAATCATTGTTATTCAAATGCAGGATATTGTTACAGAGAGTGATCAATTTAGGTATCTTGTCTCATTGATCCTGTCTCATCATTTATTATATCGAATAATTTCTGTTGTTAATTCCAAATTCAATAATATATTTTTTTTCTTTTAACTTAGTGCTGTGGCCCTTTTTCGTCTGATGCAGCATTGAAGAATTCATTCCACTTTTGAGAGAACGAATGAATGTCTTAAACCCTTATGTCCGCCAGTTTCTGGTAGGATGGATTACCGTTTTAGATAGTGTTCCTGATATCGATATGCTTGGTTTTCTTCCTGATTTTCTTGATGGTGAGTACTGTATCTGATGTTTCATTGGCTCCTTGGGTGTTACATCAGTATATACACTGATACAATTTCTATTTTTTCCTTCTCCCCATTTTTGCTGATTATGGTATGGCAGGTTTGTTTAACATGCTAAGTGATTCTAATCACGAGATAAGACAACAGGCAGATTCTGCACTTTCTGAATTTCTTCAAGAAATCAAGAACTCTCCAGTAAGGCGATGACATCACTGATCATGCGTATTGATATATATATATGTATATGTCATTCTTTGTGTTAATTTTTTTTATTTTTCTTTGTTTTTGGGTTGATTGATGTTAACCAAACAATATTAGTTGCCAGCTGGAACGCATATTGCCACAATGGGGCCATTAGGCACAGCGACCTAAACTTATCTTTGCCCCTTTAGTGACATTGACTGATGAATTGTGCTATCGTGTCCTTCAGTAGATAGTTTCTTTCAGAGATTTACATATATACTGTAAATACAAATTCCAGTTTGTTTTGTGATGTTTATACTTTATAGTTTTGTTTTTATTTTATTTTATTTTAATTGAGAACTATTTTCACTGACATTTCCTTTATAGATTCTTATATTCAATATGCTTTACAGGGTTGTTATTGGTTTGAATATAACTTGTTTGTTTATATGATAACATTTTTACTTCATATACTTATATTTTTTTATTGCCTTATTGCTTGTATTGCCATTGTGATAAATAAACACTTGTTAACTTCAATTTCCTGATTTAATCAATGCTATTTTTGAAGTCTGTGGATTATGGGCGCATGGCTGAGATACTGGTCCAAAGGGCAGCTTCAGGAGATGAATTTACTCGACTGACTGCTATTACCTGGGTAAGATTTTCTGAACCAATATTTTCAGGTGCACATAACCTTACATATTGTTGGCTTTGGAATATAGCTTAGTTGTTTTTTTCGTCTGCTTGAGGTGGTGAGTTTCACATGCTCTCTATGCAGATTAATGAGTTTGTAAAACTCGGTGGAGATCAGCTTGTTCCTCATTATGCTGATATTCTTGGTGCTATTCTGCCCTGCATATCAGACAAGGAAGAAAAAATAAGAGTTGTAAGTTTCCATGTTCGGATAGACCAGAAATTTAGTAGCCTCACCTCAATATTTAAATCATCTAAGTAGTATCATAATTTGTTTCTTGAATTTAACATCTTTACACCTTTTCTTTTACAGAAATAACATTTCAACGTAATCTTAAGCCTTTTATCGGATTTGACATATGTACCCCTTATCTTCCTGTGGTTGGTGTTTAAATATGTGCATGCTTCTTCTAATCTCAGGTTGCACGGGAAACTAATGAAGAGCTGCGAGGAATTCAAGCTGATCCAGCTGAAGGTTTTGACGTGGGGGCAATCCTCTCTGTAGCTCAGAAGTAACTGTCTTCAATCTTTTGAGTGGTTAATTTAGGTTGCATATTGATTTTATGGCTTACTGATGAGCTCTGTAGAAAATGAGAGGATCAACTTGGGTGTTTTTATTTATTTTTTCATCCTGAAAAAAGTACCTTAATGCCTCACAGTGTATATGTGGCATATGTTTCAGCCATCTCTCCAGCGCCTGGGAGGCTACACGGATTGAAGCACTTCACTGGATATCAGCCCTTTTAAATAGACATCGTACTGAGGTAATTGTGAGGTTTTTTTTTTAAAAATGCTCTGTTAGATTACTTGCCCAGATGTATAATTATACATTGTTATGAAGATATAGGACAAATTTGATTGGAAATGAGTACCACGTCCAGAAACTTACATGGTTCCACTCTATGTTTTGTATATGGTTCAGTACTCAGATGGTTTAATCAATAGCATTAGCTTTCTAGTAGACACCGGACTGAGGTAATTGTGAGGTTCTTAAAAAAAATGCTCTGTTAGTTTACTTGCCCAGATGCATAATTATACATTGTTATCAAGATATAGGACAAATTTGATTGGAAATGAGTACTACATCCAGAAACTTACATGGTTCTACTCTATGTTCTGTATTTGGTTCAGTACTCAAAGGGTTTAATCAATAGCATTAGCTTTCTAATATGGTTTCTAGAAGTAGACATGACCATCCAGTTTCTGTTAATATCTTTATTTTTGTGCAAAACTAATTTGAAACCACGTCAGATTAATTATAAGGTCATCTTCTTCGGATATTTGTAGAGAACATTGCATACTCTATCCTTACCATCTCAGGTATGGTTTGTTGAATAGTGGTGTGATTCCTATTTTTTTGTGTCTTTTTGGACTAGGTTCTATCATGCCTGAGTGAAGTTTTTGAAACTCTACTGAAGGCACTCTCTGATCCTTCTGATGAGGTATTTTCTTTAACTACTTATCTACTATTACTCTTAACTGCTCCTTGTTAAGCCGCATTCTTCCAAGGCTTCTAAAAAACACTATATTACTAGTAGAAGTTAGTAGGGGTGGTCATTTTGGTCCGTGACTGCTGTAATTGTTGCCACATTCCAAGAAGTTAACAAATTTCTGTTTTCATTTCGTCATAAAGAATCATTGCAGTTGCAATGGAGTCATACAAATTAAGATGCATACATATTTCAACATATTGTAGAGTTAAGAGCACTCACATATGCTGTTATGCTTGACGCTTCCTCCCTACTATCTTCTCTCCGGGAAAACAGGAAAGAAAAGAAGATTAACATACGATCAGTATCTTTACATTTTCGTTGCGAAAAAATTCAAGGAGGGTGCATTTTCTTCAGTAATTTTTGCTATTTATTTTCCACAAGTATCATTTTTCTTTCATGCAAGCTGTTCATTGTTAAAGAGCCCATTGCTGGTGTTAAGACAGATGGCCTACTCTGTTTTTTGTTTTTTGTTTTTTTTTTTTTTGTGCATTGGGCTATCTTGAATGTATTATAAACCCAGTATGCTTCTGACAGATATTTGGTGGCACATTTCTCTTTATTTTCTTCTCGTTATTGTTTGCTGTGGTTTTTCTGTTTCCACTATGGTTTCTTCAAGAATTTAAAGGCAGTTATTTTTCTACTTGCAGGTAGTTCTTTTGGTACTCGAGATCCATGCATGTATAGCCAAAGATGAGAAGCATTTTGACCAACTGATCGTTTACTTAGTTCAAAATTTTCATGTTGATTACTCTCTTTTGGAGAAGTAAGTCCATTGACTATTATATTATATATTGAAGCCTAAACTTGTGTGGTATAGTGGAATAAATTGGTCTTATTCTCTTGTAGGCGGGGTGCATTGGTGATCCGTAGACTTTGTGTGCTTTTAGATGCTGAAACAGTTTATAGGAAGCTTTCCTCTATACTTCAAAGGGAACCTGATTTGGATTTTGCATCTATTATGGTTCAGGTTTTGTGTTGTTCCAGCATGGGATATAATGAATATTAGTTTGAAGGCCATCAACCTTTTTTCACATTCAGATTTTTGTTCAGGCTTTGAATTTGATTTTGCTCACTTCATCTGAGTTGCATAACCTTCGAGATCTCCTGAAGAGAACTCTATATAATAATGATGGAAAGAACTTATTCCTCTCCTTATATCCATCTTGGTGCCATTCACCAATGGCTATCATAAGCCTTTGCTTGTTAGCGCAGGTATGTGCCTCATGATTTTATATTGCAGTATTATTACTACTTTGTTCCTTCCTATCATTATTTCTCCTCTCTAATGAGTAATTTAAGCTTCTGGCTTCTGGTATTTGATGTCTTTCACAGACTTATCAGCATGCAAGTTCAGTCATTCAATCTTTGGTTGAGGAGGATATTAACTTGAAGTTTTTGGTTCAGTTGGATAAGTTGATCCACCTATTGGAAACTTCAACTTTTACTTACCTTAGACTGCAGGTAATTTTACATGGATACATTTTGTTAGCTGTTAATAACTATGCCAACCTTATCAACAAAATAGTTTTCTTGTATCCTTGATGTAGTTCATATTTGATCCACTTATCTCCTACATTTTTTTTTTCTGCCCTTTGCAGCCTGTTATCATGGCAGTATATAATGAAAGATGCAAACCATATTTGTTTTTCAGTATGAATTGTATATGCACACATTATTTCATATGCTGTCTTGTATGTGGTCTCCATTATTTCTATAACTTAAATCCATTTTCTCCAACCTTATTTTCCTTAGACAAATTTTGATTTTTCCTTCTGGTGTTGAATTGAATAGGTTGTTGAACTTTGAAAATGCCTTGAATTGGCAATAACCACTTAAAAGGGGTTCCTTAAAAGACTCAACCTTAAAGACACTAAGGTGCTCTGTAATATGAATATAGTATTATCTATAGCATGGAACTGTTGCTCGTTTTATGAACGGAACTACTCTTAATTAAGCTATGATCGAGGTGTTGTGGATCTAACTTAACTACTATATGTGGCCGTTTGAGAAAGCTATAAGATGTGGTCTTGATGGCTAAGGGCTATAAATTAGACTTTGTGTGACGTGTCAATTCTTTGATATTCTCTTTAGTCTTTTTGGTTCTGACTCAACTATGCTCTTTAGAAGTTGCCACTACTATTGCACTTAAGATGAAATTGTTTGGCATAATATCTTGTGGGTTTACTTGTTAATGGCTATAAGTGGCATGTAGACACACATAAAGCAGTCTTATTTCTTAATTTGGTTCTTATATTTTTAAAAATGGGATAAGTACATTTTGGAATTTTAAAGGAAGCCTAGAAACTCAACAGTTGTTTCCTTAAAACCAGAAGATGAAGGGCAATATTTCTTTACCTGTCTTCTAGTCATTTACATATTTCTTGAACAAAGAGAGTGATTTTGAGATTCGACTTTGAAGAAGTGAACTTTTTACCTTTTCTCTCGTATAATCATGAATTCTGCTCTAGTCAGGTGGTACCATATTTTTTCCAGTTTAGAAAAAGATCCTTGTATAGCTGTGATAATTAGTTGGATATGATGAAGAATGAATGGTTTCTTCTATGTTAGGGGCACTGGATGTGCGCCATCTCATAGCTGCTGATGCCTGATTGACTTTGTTTCTTTATCAACTCAATGAAGTTTACTTCATTCTTTTTCCATAGAAATTTTATCATAGGGAAGATCTTCTTCTCATATTGTATCTAGTAGACTGCATCTTGTTGAAATATTTTTTTCTTGTTGCAGCTTCTTGAACCTGGAAGATATATATGGTTGTTGAAGGCATTGTATGGCCTGCTTATGTTGCTTCCTCAGGTATGTGGTTTCCTGCTTTCTACTTCTGTCACTTCTGTAACGTGTCACCACAACAGAGGTCCCTCCCTGAAGCGATTGTTCACCTTTTATCAGCGAACTTGTCAAACTATGAAGTTAAATAAGTTGCTCCCACTGGTTTGCTTTGTCGAAAAACTGAGAACCTATTTGCTTAAAATTCATGTTACAAGGAAAGGACAAAACTCATGTTTGAGTGAAAATTCTCAATTTAATGATTTGCAGCCAGGAATTGGCATATGGAAAAACTAAGAATCCATCTACTCTGAATTCATGTTATATAGAAAGAGTTATACTCATAAATTAAGAATGGGAGATATATATATATTTATCATATTATATTATGTATGCTTGCTGCCACTTGTTAATACATATACTGCCACCGCACGATGCAAATGGGAAAAAGCATAGCGTGACGTTTAACTGTAGGTTGAGGGCTTTGATCTTTGTTCTCTGAATTAAAAGTCATTATAAGTTGGTTTTCTATGATTTTAATTTACGGACTGCATATGCAATGTACTGCTCCTTGATTACTGTCATTTCTCTTGATGGTGCAGCAAAGTGTAGCATTCAAAATTCTCCGAACTCGATTGAAGACTGTACCACCATACTCTTTCAGTGGGCAACAACAATTCAAGGGGTTGTCATCAGGAAATGCTTTACCAGAAGTAGCTTATGCCAGCAGCTCAAAAATCTTCGAGGATGGTGTTATGAGTGCAGACCAAAGGAAGACAGATGATGGCATTAACTTTGCTTCATGTCTGCAGCAGTTTGAGCGTGTTCAGAAGCAACATCGATTGCTTTCTAAGTCTCAGGTGCAATCGCAGTCACAATCACGTCACAATTCAGCTTCAGCCGCAAAGGTTTGTTTTACATTCAAGCTCCTTGTTACTTCAGTCTGCTAATTAAATTACGAAACTAGATTGGCTCTGACGATCCATTACATATATTTGCATTTGGGAATGATTACATGTGGTTCATTGCCATATGAGTTTTGAAACTTGGATTGGGAATTTAAGCCATGGAAGAATTTACATTTTCTCGAATATTTGCATTTGCGTGTCAACATTATAGACAATCTACTCACAAGTGTATATTTCAGGAAGTACAACAAGCAGATGACACAAAGCGGCCGTCTCCAGTACCCGAAACGAACAGACCCCCTTCAAGATCTTCGCGCAAAACTTCTGGGCAGCCACAGCCTTAATCCTTTTTGGTCTATACTCAATCATACTTTTGATCTCTGCATTCAAAACTCGGTGAGATCTGGTGAAAATTGTAGATTGTATATTACCGTAGCTTCTTCGAATTTAAACTATTTTCAAGTGTCGGGATGGCGCGAAGGAGGCCGATCGGGCAGGATATCCTCAGCAGAAGTTGAATGTGGTTGCCAAGCAATTCCTTTTCTTTTCTTTTCTCTCTCTTTTTTTTTTGGTTTACTTCTTGTCGGTCATCTTCTTGATCTCTCTCTCTCTCTCTCTCTCTACATCTATTTATCTATCTCTCTTGTTTTCTTTCTTTCTTTTTGTTTGTTTCTTTGTTGTGATGAACGTACAGAAGAGATGTGTACCCCATGTGGTTATGTTGTTTTTTTAATTGGAAACCATGTGGGCAAATAGATAAAATTATCATCAACATATTATTCATATGTTGGTTGAATTTTTAGGGGTGTGTGTAGTAGTAGTAATGTTTTTATTTTACTACATTTCATATTCCCACATTTTGTGATTTGATTTGTACTGTCCGCCAACACTACTATTATCATTATTGTTATTTTCCTTGTGCTAATAAATTATAAATGTATCATTTTACAATTCCCTACTATTTCTTGTGCTTCCCAGGTCTGGATAATCTTTTCTTTCGTGATTTATTTATTTTAAATAATTTTATTATTCTCAAAATGTCGAGACAATTACATATTCAATGTGACAGTCCAGTTTCGCTGTTGTACGGTACGGAAGTTTGGTCTTTGACGGTTCGATGTAATCGCTCCGCTTCACTATAGCAAGGGTGTGGAAGTTTTGTGGTTTATTCGGCTATGTTATGTTTTAAGAATAATAAATATTTTGAATCAGATATTTATCAGATAGGATGTAAATAAATAATGGGTAAATTGTACAATTCCCTTTAATATAAAATTTGTACAAAATATTTTTTTCATTCAAAATTGATATTTGATTTTAAATATGAATCAAATAAGATTTTGTACAAATAAAAGTGATAAATATTTTAAATAATTTTTTTAATAAAATAAATAAATAAATAATTGATTAATACTTTATTTTATTTAAAAAATTATTTAGGATTTCTTTTATTTTATAAAACTGATGTAAACCTTCAGCCGAACCTAGTATCTTTGCAAACTAGGTCCGACAAAACAAATCAACACGAACCATGTGTAAAAGGTGGACATAGAGGCGTTGGGATTTCAACTATGACCTAATAGTTACATGTTCACTCTCCACACCTGTTCACTCTCCACACCACCAAATCATCCCTTACTATTTGATTCATCGGATGCATGATGCATCCCTAGGACAATTTCCCCTAGGACAATTTCGTGATGACAATACTATAAACTCACAAGTGAAATAACCGATGTCTAAATCAAGGATTTAGTCGTTGTGTCGAGTAGTGCTATATAACCCTCATATACGGTCGATGCGAACAATATAAACTTCATCTAAGCCATAGCACCTCAACTCGAGGCCTCCCATCGTATCCCTTAAGCCCGGGATTATCATAGATGTCGAAAAAAAAAAAAAAAACGAATTACGTAACCAAAACAACCCGATACTAAGCAGCCAACTCGATGCCATTCTTATTCGCAAAGATCTAAAAGCCTATACAGAAAAGTCAGTTATAGTTACTCTATAATATAACCTCTAATTATACACATATTTTGGATACCGAATCTTTTGCTAAGATCTTTTAATACCGTGGAACCCTTAAACAGACTCACAATGCATATATTTTTTTCTCATCAGAGTTATAGTCATCTAAGTCCGAAATATTCGCAGAATAAGACCACGAGAACGACTTACTTCCACTCGCTCGTCTGATCCGTCTCTGGGAATCGCTCCCGAACATCCCGAAATGTTGTCTGAAGACAAAGTAGCATAAACTGATCAGTGTCCCGACGAGGATTGGCGCGCCGAGCGCAGTTATGGTTGTCGCCATCCACGCGCCTTCTTTCCCGACGACGACGAACGATATCGATAGGAATGCACCGCAAGTGCAAATACAAGCTGCCCACATCATTTTGTTCACCACGGATACGACCTGCGTCATCGTCGGAAACGTTAATATCGAAAATGAATGCGATGTATTGCTAGTGGAGAAATTTTGGGATGAACCTGTTTCTGAGCTCTCGTGTCCCATGCGACGAGAGTGATTTGCACGACGACGACGGATAGGGAGATGAAAAGGGCCGTGGCGTTTAGAAGGCAGAAAGAGCGGAATGCGACCGTGTGAGCGATACGGGCCTCGCCCGCTTCCTTCCCGTCGGAAACATACAGACCCGGCAAGTTGAATAATGCGATGAAGGCGATCGAAGCGACGAGAACGGCCACCACCGTCACGGAGTTGATGGTGTTTTGGACAGCTTCTCGGTGTATCTTCTTGAGTTCTTTTGCGATTCCCGATACCCGCCTCTGCGTTTTCTCGTTTTGTATGAGTTGGGACTGCACTTCGTGCTTGATGTCGCTCACCGTACGTTTGAGTTCCATCGCTTCATCGACTTGGCCGACGTGCCTCGCGTGCTTCGCACCGGCTTCTAAGAGAGCTTCTTTGATCTCCAACGCATGTTCTCCGTATTGGAGTTTGTCCGCAATGTCCATTGCCGTTTCGCGTTGGTTGTTGATTGCATTGACGTCGATCGATCGATATGTGAGCAGAACGGCGACTATCTGAAATAAGAGGCAATTTACTGCGATAAGAACATAAACACAATCGACATAACCAAAATAAAACTCTACAATTCTTGATTCAAGTGAACTTTCTCTATGAACTGTCTCAATGTATTTAGTTTCAACTCAAGCTGCTTTTAATCATCAATTGATTTTTCGATTCATTTACCCTATTTAATCAAGTTATTTTATATAGACTAAATTGCACCAAATTCACACGTGGCTTCACGAAATTGCGCAAAATCTTCATATTTCTAAAACTGCGTCAAACCCACTGATGGTTTTATAAACTCTTTGTCTAACCCCATCGGCGATCCTTATTTAATGTGTTTAACCTATACACAACCAAACTGCGAATGAATCTCAAAAACTCGATTTTTAAACCCTTAAAATTACAAATATATTCATTCCTCTTATATTAGCCTCTCTTATATTAGCCTCAAAGAACGATCAACATAGTCAGAAATAATTTGAGGCTAAATATAAGATAGAATGAATATATTTGTAATCTTAGGGGTTTAAAAATTGAGATTCTGAAATTCATTCACACTTTCGGTGCGCATAGATCAAACAATGTTAAATAAGGATTGTCGAGAGGGTTAGACGCAGAGTTTATGAAACTACGACCAAGTTTGACGCAGTTTTAGAAACACGGGGATTTAGTCGCAATTTCGTGAAACCACAAATAAAGTTTGTGCAATTTAGCCTTTTATATATTTGAGCAGTTGAAAGTTCAAACAATGTATTTGATTTACGGTCCCTGTCTACAATTGAGAAAAATAGAACTTTAAGATACCTGAGAACGGTTCTTCCGCGTGGCTATATGAATTGCAGTATTCCCCTTCTTGTCACGTTCGTTCAATATCGAATGATCGGCTTCCAATAATTCTTCGACCACGGCTGCATCCTGACCTTTGACGGCCATATGGAGAGCAGTTTGGCCTTTCTTATCCTTGATGGGGATGATTCCAGGATCCCTTTCGATGAGGGCTTTCACAATCTCCAATTGGCCGTATCTCGCTGTAGTATGCAATGCCGTCTTCCCATTCTTCCTCACAATCCTTATTGAGCTCACATCTGCATCTAAAATGGCGTTCACAACATCCAGATGATTCTGGGAGGCTGCTGAATACAGAGGGCTTGTGTTCGATGAGTTGCACACCCTACAAAGCTCAGGCCACCTCCCCAGAAGCTCCTTCACAACTCCTGGATTGAAATGCAATCGAAATTTCTGGCTAAGCTAACAGATTTTAAAAAATGGCAAAAATGAAACCCAGTAGCTCAGAAAGTATGAATTTTCGACAGCCATGAAATCCAGTAGCTAAGGACTAATGAAATTCAATCGAAATTTCTGTCTAAGCTAACAGATTACAAAAATTTGGCGAAAATGAAATCCAGCAGCTCAGAAAGTATGAATTTTCGACAGCCATGAAATCCAGTAGGCTAAGGACTATTAAAATTCAATCAAAATTTCTGTCTAAGCTAACAGATTACAAAAATATGGCGAAAATGAAATGCAGCGACTCAGGAACTATGGAATTTTCGACAGCCATGATATCCAGTGGCTAAGGACTATCGAAATTTCTGTCTAAGCTAACAGATTACAAAAATATGGCGAAAATGAAATCCAGCAACTCAGGAAGTATGGAATTTTAGACAGTAATGAAATTCAGTAGCTAAGGACTCTTGAAATTGAATCCAGCAAATAAATCTCCTTGTAAACCCTAATAAACTGTAAACGAACAAATTCTGCAGCATGAAGCAACGATTCAGTGATTGAAAGCTAGAGAGGATTAAGAACGGCTAACCTAGGTGTCCCCTAGCCGCCGCGACCTGGAAGGCGTCCATATCCGATTTCGCCCGAATCATAACCGTCGGCAAGTCGCAGAAATTCAGCAAATAGGTGAAAATCTCGAGGTAATTATTCTCGGCGGCGATGTAGAGCGCGGTTTCCTTGTTATCGTTCTGCAGCGCCATCATGGAAGACGGATCGCTCCCCTCATTCTCGATGAGGTTCCGGAGAGCCGCGGCGTCGCCGGATCGGACGGCGGAGAAAAACGCCTGGTGCGTTATGAATCGCAAGGACGTGGAATCCATGATCCCCAATTCCACCTGAGCCCTAGGGTTTGTTCTAGGTCTACCTTTGCCTGCAGAATTACAATCGCCCCTGTTTGGGTATTGAATCGAATGAAATCAATCAAGCAATCAATCGATCCATTGGAGATTGCAGAGTAGAAGCACCTCCTCAACTAAAGGTTATTCGTGGCCGCGTTGAAGGTGGTGGACGAAGACAGAGAAAGCGCGGAGCTTGATGCTGGAGAGTGACAGTGACAGTGACAGTGACAGGTGACAACTTCGGTGGAAATCTGCAGCTGGATTTTTTACAGTACCTCAGATAAAGCCGCTGCTATGTCTATCGTCATTTGCCTGTCACTTAAGTCAATACTTTATGCTCTATTATTTTGGTTTAATATACACCCTACGATCAAGACTCCATCGACGGCTGAGATTTATTCAGACCGTGATGTAGCGTGTCTTCGATGGTATTTTATTTATTTTTATTTTTTTCTGTTAGGGTTTTCCCTTTTAATTTGACTAATTTGATTGTGAATGTTGGTATGTCTTCTTTTTTTTGAAATAAAAAATTATATATTTTTTAGAAAATATAAATGCTAAATAGTAGGAATTTGAGATTTCTGGCAAAAGAAATAAATCTAAAGATTTAGGATTTGGATTTTGAAAGTGATATATTTTTTAAAAAAAAAGTAGTCCTTCCGTTTTAAAAGTATAGTTTTATTGTGTTGGGCACAAAATTTAAGAAATATTGATATTATATTAACATTGGGTAAAAAGTAAGGATAAGTGATTTTTTTGTCCTTGTGACTATATTAGTGTAAACAGTAGTGACAATTGTGTAATAATAATAATAAAGTATGGATAGTTTTATGGTGATATGATTATTTATGAAAATGAGACTATTGTTTAAGAACGGACAAAAGTGATAAACAATACTATTTTATTGAGGCGGAGGGAGTAATAAATAATAATAAAGAAAAACCCAAAAGAAGTTTAGGAAGAGATGATTAGGAAGTTAAAAGGCACTAATGAACTTTAATACGAAATAGCCTATGAAGAAGTTACAATTTGAAAATTGAGTTGGAATAAAATGGGATTATGCCCTAAATTCTGATGAACTCTTTATACTGCTAAAAGATAAAATGGAGATGTTCATATGGTACATTTGCTTAGAAGAGTCTGGCGAAGCCAAAAAAGTCTCAAGCTTATTATTATACTTCATCCGTCCCGACTATCGTGTCTCTGTTACTGTAGACACGAGAATTTAAAAGGGGTATAATTAGTATTCCCTTCATCTCAGATATTTTTTCCGTTACTGTAGACACAGAAATTTATGAAGGATATAATTAGTAAATAATTAAAAATATATTAGTGAAAATAATTATCGTATAATAAAGATAATTATAGATTAAGATTAAGATAATTGTTTAGTATAATTAAAATTAAAAAAATTATAAATTAAATTTTTAAAAATAAGATTAAAATGTATAATTATTTTAAAAAAAAAATAACAAAATATGCGGGACGGAAGGAAATTGAGAGGTGGACATGATAAGTGGGACGGAGGGAGTAAATAATTTAAAATATATTAATGAAAATAATTATGTATCATAAAAATAATTTTAGATTAAGATAACTAACTAGTCTAATTAAAATTTAAAAATATATATAATTTTTAAATTTTTAAACGAAATTAAAGTGTATAATATTTTTTTCTTTTTTAAAAAAATGACAGAATAAGTAGGATTGACAAAAATAGAAAAATGAACATGATAAGTGAGATGAGTTGTCTCTCAAGAATATTTGATCAATGATAATACTTTTTCCATCTTAAAACAATAGAGACATTTGGGGTAGACACGAAAATGAAAAAATAATACCAAAATGTTGTTACTTTATGTAATTATTATGAAAAGTGAGAATAATTTTGTAAAAATATGGGAAAGTAATTACAAAAATGAAAATAGAACTATTGTTTTAAAATAGACGAAAATGACAAATAAGACTATTATTTTGAAACAAAAAGAATGTGTTATTGGCCTAAAAAATAATTAGGGTGTGTTTCTTTTGACTGAATTTGAAAAAAATTTAATTTAAATTTAGTATTAAAATAATATTTAATAAGATGTTTTGCGAAAGAAAAAATATTTTTTTTTAAAAAAAACACCGAATCAAATAATAAAGTTCGGGAAAACTTTGTTAAAAAAACATACCTTAGTTAACATTACAATTTCGAAAATGCTTTACCAAGTAAAAGAAATCTCAAATGGATCAACCAATAAAACAACTCTTTTTTTATTCCTTGTTCTCCTTTCTCTCTTCAGATATTTGGATTTTGAGTTGGTATTTGAATAGTAAAAATTTTGAATTTAAATAGTTGTATGATGTGATATAAATAGGTGTTGATGTGATGTTTGAAATATAAAATTAATTTTCAGTATAATATAAAAAATGAAAAATAGATGTTTGATTTATATTTTTGAAGAAAAAAAAAGAATAAACAGTAAAAATTAAATCCAATCCCCCAGACAAACACACCCTTAATTTATTTTTTGTTTCATTTTTATTCCCACGTTAATGTATTCATGTTATTTTATATTTTTCTAATTTCCATCCAAAGTAAGGGTCAATGATAGTGAATAATTAAATACAATTTCTCTATTATCCTTATTGATTCCACAAACAATATAAGAGATTAAATAAATATATTTCTTCATCACTTCAAAATAAATCTAAAAATATGTCAAATATTGTTATTATTTAAATAATATTTAAAAAATAATTTACTAAAGATAGTTATTTATTTATTTATTATTATTATATTTTGCATTAATGAACTTTTCACATAACGAGTCGGGGGTTTGAATACATGTTATATTATGTGTTGTTAATATAATTATATATTAATTTTAAATTGCATGCATTGTTTTCATTTAAATGTTTATATGTATATAATAATTAATTTAAAATATAATATTTTATTAATAGATGAAATGATATAAGAAAATTTCAATGAATTTGTCTATTTTTGTATAAAATAATTATTTGTCTAATATGTAAACTATGGCCTATTTGGTTACAAAATTTGTGGGGGAATTACAAATATATTTCTATACACTTGGAATTTTTATTTTTTTTATAAATAATTTATGCTAAATATATATGCTTTTATGGAGTATTTATTGTTATTATATAAAATTTTATTTTCTAAAAACTGATACTCCTTCCGTCTCACATACCTGTCTGCTACGCTGTAATACGGTATTTTAGGAGGGTGTAATTAGTAGATAATTAAGAATGTATTAGTGAAAATAATTATCCTATAAAATAAATAATTATAAATTAAGATTAAGATAACTAATTAATTTAATTAAAATTAAAAAAAATAAATTAAAAAGTTTAAAATGAGATTAAAATGTATAAATATTTTCTGAAAATGGAAAGTGACATACGAGAGACAGACAGAAACGGCAACGTGGACATGATACGTGGGACCGGAGGGCGTATTTATATTGACATATTTTATAATTTTACACTACAATTCTCAACTTGCAACCACCACGCATGTGACAATTTGTTTTAGGTTTGCTTTGCCATACATATATATTTTATTTTGAGATATAATTTTCAATATATTAAATATAAGATTTTTGAAAAATAAATAATAATAATAATAATAATAAAACAGTACGTGGATGAAAACAAATTTTGATACGAAATATATATATATATAAATCCACGTTTAGGGTAAATTATTTTTTTAGTCCATAACTTAATCCCATTATCATTTTAATCTCGTAAGTGGAGTTTATCGCAAACTAGTTTTATAAGGGTGTGTTTGTTTGGAGGATTGGATTTAAATTCAACCATTCAACCAATTTTTTTTTTTTCCAAAAACATCAAATCAAACACTTATTTTTCATTTTTTATATTATACTAAAAAATTTTCGTTGTTTTAGTCATCCGGCACTGGAGACGCCCGCGTGGCTCACCGGAAGCCATGTGTCCGCCAGGTCGGCTACACCTGGCGGACACTTGGATTGTATTTTATTTTATTTTTTCATTTTTCTTTAATTTCTTTTTTTTTTTTAATTGGACCAAATAAAAATATTTTTAAAAAATTTTAAAAAAAATTAAAAAGTTAAAAAATAAAATCCACGTGACCTAGCGGACACGTGGCCTCCGGCGAGCCACGCGGGCGTCTCCGACGTCGGATGACTAAAACAACGAAAAAATTTTACTTATGGAACTAGTTGCTACAAACTCTACTCACGGGACTAAAAATGATAAGAGTGTTCAATTACTGTATTAAAAAAAAAAAAAAAAAAAGCTTACCCCCGTTAATTATAATGACAAAATTGGAAAAATACATTTAAGATAATTTCATCCAATTCAATAAATATTTAAACTGCTTCTGTCCCAACCACTACAGTAGATAATAATCTCATCCATTGGAATAAATAATTAGGTAATATCAATTACTACTACTTATCTTTTATTTAATTTTTTATTTCCAAATTAACAAAAAACAACAAAACTAACCTAATCTTTTTCAATAAATTCGAATACATCCAAATATACCATAGTATAAAATCCCACAAGTCATTGCAAGAATAATTCATCTTCAATTTGATAATTTGAATTTGTTTCTCACTCATCATTTTCAATATGAAATCCTTAATTATTGTCGTTTTCCTTCTAGCTTTGTTTCTCGTCAAAGGTATTTTTTTTTTCTCTTTCTTTCTCCGCATATATATATATATATAAACTTTATTTTTGGTCGTTAATACGCGTATATATATATATATTAAAACATATAATAATATTTGGTTCGGATACGAATACATGCAGGAAATGTTACTTATGGATTATCGACGAAAGCGGATGACAATAAGATATGCAAATACAAAAGCAGGAAATTTTCGGGACTTTGTTTTAATGACATCAAATGTGCGGAAGTTTGCAAAGATGAAGGATTTGAAGGCGGAGATTGTCAGGGATTTCGCCGAAGATGTTATTGCTACAATAATTGTTAATAATTTCATTATATGTTATGAAAAGATTTAAATAAAACACATTTTCTTTGGATTATGAGAAATTTTTTTATTATCAATTTTCTTTAAAAAGATGTTTTAATTATTAATTACTTTTTATTTGTTTTTCTGTGCTTGACAAAGACAATAATAATAATAATAATAATATTTCAAAATTGAATAAGAAATATACTACTTTAAAGTTAATTCTGTCTGGTCCAAACTAATTAAAGTTAGACCTGTTGATTCAATTATGGTAGCATTGTTGAGGCAAGATTAATAAACCGGAAGGATAAATTCCATTTTTTATTATATATTTATTTATTTATTTTTTTAAGATTTAAATATAATTTAGCATTTTTAATTTAAAAATATAATTTGTCTTAGTGGGTGTCTTAATCACTGTAGATACGAGAATTTAAGATAATTATAATTAATATATAATTAAGAATGTATTAATGAAAATAATTAATTTATAATATAAATCATGAAATATGAGATAGACAGAAACGACAACATGGACATAGGTGAGACGGAGTGAGTACTATTTATTTTTATAAAATATTAATATATTCTTTTACTATTTGAACTAAAATAAAAAAATACTATAAAATAATTACTCACATGATTATTCAATTAGTAATTCCTCACCGACTAATTAATGTAGAGTTTATTTGTTTTGTGTTTTTTTATTTGAAAGGAATACTTTTTAGTAAAATATAAAAAAATTGTGTATATAATATAAAAATAATAAATTATTTAATATATTATTATTTTTTAAAAAAAGATGTGATGAATGTTTTTACCAAAAAAAAAACATCTGTACTTATTTATAAATCATGAATTTCGATTTAAAAATAATCTGTTACGGTTTGAAACGTCTGTTTATATATATATATATTTATTTTAATATTTTAATTTTTTCTTTTTGATTTTTTTAAATTTAAATTTTATTTAAAACAATTAATTTTGATTATATTTTTTTTATTAATAATTATTATGTAAAAATTATATAAATAATAATTTATTAGGTTGTTACAATATAAATAATAAATTTAGTAAATTAAATAAATTAAAATTTGAATTAAATAAATAAAAATAAATTATAAAAATATTGATATAGTAGATAATAAAACAACTTAAATTTTTAAAAAAAATTAAAATATACATATAAATATAAAAATAATAATCACTAATAATAATTTATCTTTATTAATATAATATTATTTTTATTTTATAAAAAAAATAATAATATATAAACTTTTTAATTATAAACATCTTTTTGTTTGGTAAATCAATTGCGAAATTATTACTATTATTATTATTATTATTAGAAAATACAATTTGCTCTTGTTCTTCATCCTCAATTCTTTCTTTTTATTTTTCCTTCTTCCTCCTCCTCTTCTTCCTTAGACTTGTCCAAATGGTTCAAACCGTCGGATATGCTTACAAACTGTCGCTTACGATTTATCAAAATGTTAAATCGAAATCGAACATTTCGAATGACGGTTTCGATTACGGTTTATAAACCGTCGATTTCGGTTTAAATACCGCGATTACGGTTTGAACCGCCGGTTTATATATACTCATTTTTAATATATATATATTTTTTCTATTTTTCTAAAAATTTGAATTTTATTTAAAAATAATTAAGTTTCATTTTAATTTTATTGAGATATATTTATTATTCATTTATTATATAAAATCATATATATAAATAATTAATTAAAATTTTACAATATAAAAATAATTAAAATAATAAGTATAGTAAATAATTAAATTATAAAAATATTGTAATAGATAATAAAATAATTTAAATTATATAATAAAAAATTATAAAATATAAAATATAAATAAAAAATATTAGTAATATTATTATTTTTCAATATTATTAATAATTATTTATATGTATTAATATTATTATTGTTATATTTTAAATTTTAATTATAAATATAATAATATTATTATAAAATATAGACAATTTAACCCTAATTTTTAATCAGGCATCACATCCGCATTCTACGGACGCCCGTAGGCCCGCAGCCGCGCCTGAGCCCCGACAAACAGGCCGCGCCTGAGCCCCCACAAACAGGTTCTCTCTCTTCCTTCCTTCTTCCTCAATTCCTCTCATTTCTTTCCTTTTTTCTTCCAACCTCGGTCCTTCTCCTCCTTTCCAAAAAGCTAATCCGCCGGTTCAAACCATAAACTGGCGGTTTGAACCGGAGGTTTGCGGTTTGAGTTTGTGTCGGTTTCGGTTCGAACCGTATCCGCCGGTTCATAAACCGTCGAACCGGCGGTTCGAACCGACGGTTCGAAACCGAATGGGCAAGTCTACTCCTCCTCCTTTTCACTTCACGTCTTCACCTAGCCTGCTGCCCTGCTTCGCTGTGTCTGTGGCTCTACACCCGGTCTGCAATTCCCAAATTTAAAACCCTAAATCCCTACCCAATTTCAGATCACGCTCCCATTCCACCACACACTCGGCGGCGGCGGATCTTCGGCGATTGACGGCGAGGACAACCGCCGCGGCGAGGGAAACTTCGGCGGCGAGGGAAATTTATTGCTTTAATGTTGGTGAGTTATAGTTATCCTGATTTACATCCGATGTTGTTTAGGTCGAGCTTGTTCTTTTTGATTTGTTTCTTAGTGTCCCAATTCGCGATTTTTTTTTTTTTTTTTGTTTCAAATGTATAATATGATTTATTATATTCCTATTATTTTATTTTGCCCTGTTCTGTTCTGTCTGTGTTCATAGTCTAATTTTAATTTCTTACTGTGGAAACAGTGAGGAATTTCTTCATATTGCTTGCATAAGCTGAATGTGGATTAGGTTGTTTGACTTATTGTTTATAACCTTACATACAACCTACACATTTTGGAAGAATTTCATTATCTTTACTAGTGGTAGAAAATGGCAGGTTGATTATTCCATCTAAGAAACAACAATTTGCAGTCATTTTTTGGGTTTTGTTTTTCAACATGTATTCGTTAATTTACATTTTGAATTAGAAAGAAAAAAACATTGAAAATGAAATTGACATGTTTGAAAACTGAATATAGGGTTGATGGACTGTTTGGACACTGACAAGGATTGGATTATATTTTTTTATTATTTTAAAAAGATCAATGATTTTGCATTTGAACCAAAGATAAATGCTGCCATATTTCTTCTGCTGCAAAACAGGCAATTATTTTTTAAACATTGGATTGATTCTAATTTATATGACTGTTGTTGAATTGTGCTGCTCTGTCCCATTTGTTGTTGGTAGTTTTTTTTATCCATGAAAAAAGGGACCCCTCCTTTTACTGCTTCTCTACCTTGCAGTGCTAATTGACTTAACCAAGGATAACTTATTATGTCCTTTTAGAAAGATGACTTCAATATTTTTATATACTTTTTATTTCTGTATAGGATTGTAATCATGAACGTATATGGTCTATTCTGGAATTTTCTTTGCATTATTTCATATTTCATATTTCTGTTTTGTTTTGTTTAGTGTTTTCAAATGAATTTTTTTTTTTAAAAAACAATGTCATGGAATGTTGATATTTGTGAGATGATAATATATTGAGAATTGTGTAGGAAAAGAAAGGTATGCGGGCAAACAATTCCCTCATCATTCTCTACATTAAATTCTCCACCATTGTTTTTTTTTTTTTTTTTTTTTGCTTTATTTCTCATCCATGGTAAAGATCTTAACCTATACATATATATATATGTATAGCAGCAAATTTAAAAATTCATGAAATTAGGTGATGTTGGCAATCAATCGCTGCCTCAAAACCCTAAATCCCCAATTTCAAAACCCTAGCTTTTACTTGTCTGCGTCTCTTCTCCACAATCCGACGTCCAGGAATCCTTCATTTCGCACTCCTGCAATTCAGTTAGTCCTTAATGAAGCACGAGTATTCCCGCCGTCTAAGCCTCTATCCAATTTTGTGGCCCGGGAAGAGGAAGAAGAAACGTTTTCTCGGAATGAAGAGAGAGCTTACAATGTCCAGATTTCGCACCCTTGGCCGGAATGGGCGGATTTGATGGAGAAACTGTTGAGAAATGGGTATTTCGATGGAAATGGAAATCCTTTTGCGCATGGTGGAGAATTGGGCAATAAAGACGCGAATTGTATCCGTACTGCTTGCTTGAATTTTGCACGCGACCAGTATCAACTCATAAGGTATAGATATTGTCCCTTGATTGCAGACACTTATTGTTAAATTTGAATTTAATTTTATGTGCTTTCTCATAGTATTTTCTTCTTTGTTTGATGATTTTCATGAAAAATCCTAAGTGAAATGAGAAACTCTTAGTTTCAATATGGAATATTGGAATGCTTCACTTTAAAATTCTTTAGCAGAACATAGCAATGGATGATTTGATGCACATAAAATATATTTTTAATTATAATTAAGTGATGGAAAAAGTTTATTTATTTATTTATTTTGCTATGGCTTATTCATTAGTATTACAAATTCGATGCACAAAGTTGGTTTGATGCTCATTGTATATTCTGTTCTGCAGATGTTTGTGCCGAAAGGATATCTCGGCAATTGTGGAGCTTGGATGTCCAAGCACCGATAGGAAAGTTGTTAACTCAGGGAAGCGTCTGAGAGCTCATGTAGGAATCGATGAAGGAAATGTGTGTCTAAATAATACACTTTTAATAGGGAAACAAATGATAGCATTTACGGATTCATTACATAATGATTAGAATATTTTTCTATTAGGTTTGTAGCTCGTGCATCTTGAGGGGTGATTGTGATAGAGCATATGTGAAGGCCCGTGAGGACGAAGGGGGTAGAACTGTGGACGTCATGCGTATTTTGGTGGCGTACGGTCTTGATCCTGTTGTGGGCTCCGTGGACAACGGGCCTTGCCTGAACAAGAGGGTTAATGAATCTGTTAGAACATTGTTGAAAGAAATGGTGGACTATAGTGTCGAGGGATGTGATCTTGAACCAGTGAAAGACACTGCTAGCCAGTCAAAACTATCCTCGGAAAGGCATATTGTTGATCTGGACAAGAGTTGGGTTAATGATCAAATGAAGCAAGGGGATTGGATTTGCCCCAAGTAAGAATTGTTTCCACAGTTTGAATTCTTTTGAAGTTATACTTTTTAGTTAAAACACACAAGTCCTGGATTTTATTGTTGAAACTAACAGAATTCGATTGTAAAAGAATTTGGGCAGTAATTGCTTCAGTCAATCTAGTTTCGGCATCCAATTTTGTTATAATCCGCGGAAAAAAAGAAAAACAATGCAGGATTTAAATTTATGGTTTTGAATTGTGGGAACAAAATTTACTTTTACTGTATTGAAGGACAGAACAGAAATTGAATTAGAGATTTCAAGCGGGACTGGTTGAAATAAGGGGTGTCTTTACTTGTGTTTTGATTTTGTTTTGGTGTTTTGGGTTCGTGACTATAGATGATACTATATGTGATGTTTTGATTGAAAAGTAAAATATTGGATTGATGTGACCTAATTTTGTTGGTAATATAAATGCATCTCATCATCATCATCCTTATTACTAGTGAATATTTATGATATTTTATAGATGCAATTTCCTAAACTTTGCGCGAAACTTCAAGTGCCTGCGCTGCGATACATTCTGTGAGGAAAGGGTTAAAAGAGCATCCGAAGAGCAGGAGCATCTACCATTGAAGAAAGGAGACTGGATATGCAACAAGTAATTCTCTGTTCATATTAGTCGTGCCTGATTTATTGCTTACCTGTTTCTCGTTTGTTTCTTAGTCGGTTAATATATTGCAGATGCAAGTTTTTGAACTTTGCAAGGAACACGCGATGCTTGCAGTGCAGGGAGAACCCTCCGAAGCGCCAACTTAATCCTGGCGAGTGGGAATGCGATTCGTAAGTCTTGCTTAACATATGTATACATATATATATATATATATGTATGTTGCCTCGCTCCCTTAAGCATAGATGTACATTTACTGTTTGCATGTCGATAGGACAGAAAGGGTCATTCATATATAATAAGAAATGTGCATTTAAAGAGGTATTTTGGTACTTACGTAAAATGATCGGATCTCTTATTAATATTGTGGGTCCATATTTACAGATGACATCTTAAATAGCAAAATATGTCTGTTCTTCTTAGTGGACGGAAGGAGTATATATATAGGGTGTGTTTTCTTAAAAGATTTTTGTTTTGAATAGTAAATTTTTTTATTGAAATAGTTGTTTAATTTGATATAAATATGTATTGATGTAATGTTTTTACACTAAAATTAAAAGTTATAAGTGCAAAATCTTACGATATATGTGATTTTCATATTTGTTCGAAGTTTCTCAACCATTTGACGATAATGTGTATATTTACATATGTAGGTGTAACTACGTCAATTTTAGGCGGAACATGGTTTGTCTAAAATGCGATCATCGAAGACCGGTTGCTTCTAACATTGAAAATATGGGACCTCAACCTCGGACAGGTAATTTGAGGAATCATCGGATGCACCATCCTAGGTTCGAGGAGCAAAGAAGCTCAAGCCCGTTGGATCAGGACATGGGTTTCGTGGATTTCCCCATGGCAAGAGGTAAGAGTGAGTTGTCGCGTAATTTGGAGAGGCAACAGCAATGGAGAATGGAAATGGAGAAGAAAAGCAGGACTGCAAGAAGAGAGGCTGACGACTCCAGGATGCCTGGAAGAATCGAATTTCTTGCAACCGGCGATAATGATGATGATGAAGACGATGATGAAATATCTGAATGGTTCGAGGGTGGGAAGAAACCATGACCATCAACCTTAGATCCTCAGCTCTTACAGCCATTTCGTCGCACCTTGACATGTTGCCATGAAAAATTATGTGAGTAATTCCGTGAGTAAATTATTTTACAGAATGTTTTCGTCGCAAATAAGGAAGTCAACTTGTGTTTGGTTGACTTCTCCTCACCGAAATTCTCATGGATTTGATCCTGTGAGCAATTTAATCACATAAATAATTCGGTGAGTAATTTGTGTGTAAATTGCAGACGAAATAAACAAATTCCGTGACTAATCGATTTAGTCACGGAATTAATCTTTTTTTTCTTTTTAGTGTCAATAAATTTGAATGCATCAATATTTGCAAAATTTGGAAGTATACATTCAAGATAATTTCATACAATTCAATAATAATAATCTCAAAATAAATAACCAGTTAATAAAAAATGGAGACATAAAAGGAAAAAAAAAAAAAGATAATCCAAAGTTAATATTTTTAATAATAACTTTGTATTGTTAATAAAAAAAATTTAGAAACAAGTATATTTATTTACAATATATTAAATTAAAATTATATTTCTTATTAAACAAATTACTTGCAAACACAATCTATCTTTTTATTTGATTCTCTATTCTCAAAATAACCAAGAACAAAATAAAATGCTTCTGCAACAACACTATCTGATAATCCTTTTCAATCAATTTGAATGCATCAATATTTGCAAAATCTGAAAAAAATACATTTAAGATAATTTCATCCAAAGTAAATAATTACTTAATAAAAAATGTGGACATAAAAGAAAAAAAAAATGATAATCCAAAGTTCATTTTTTAATAATAATTTTTATTGTTATTTAAAAATTATTACATACAATTATATTTCCTTACAATATTTAATCAAAAACAAAAAAATACTATCTAATCTATTTCAATAAATTTGAATGCATCAATATTTGCAAAATCTGAAAAATGACAATTAAGATAATTTCATCCAATTCAATAAATGTTTAAACTACTTCCACTCCAACTACTTGTAAGGTAAATAATAATCTCAAAATAAATAATTAGTTGATAAAAAATGGAGACAAAAGGAAAAAAAATGATAATCCGAAGGTCATTGTTTTAATAATAATTTTTTATTGTTAATACAAATTTGTACATACAATTATATATTTTTACAATATTAAATCAAAATTATAAAAAAATTGTGTAAATAATAAAAAAAATAATTAATATGTGTAATATATTAATTATTTTTGGAGAAAGCGTGTTTAAAATTTTTTTATAAAAAGAACACACCAATATTTCTTATTGAAAACATTATGTGCAAATATAACCTATCTTTTTATTTGATTTTTTATACTCTAAATAACAAAAAAAAATTAAAAAAAAAAAAAAATCCTTGCACCACTAAACTATCTAATCTTTTTCAATAAATTTTATAAATGCATCAAGATTTGCAAATGGTAGAAAGGAAAAAAATACTAAATACTTTAATTTAATATTAAGGAAAGTATTCATTTTTTTTCATTTTAGTTCGTCCTATAACAAAGTATTCATTTTCTTTTTTAGTAATTGTATTGTCTACTTAACATTACAAATATCCTTACAACTTACAATATATTACACAAATGTCATTATATTTATATAACACAATACTAATAAAGTTATTTTAATTATTTTTACTTTATTTCTACTACATTTTAATATAATATTTATATTTCTAAAATTACATGAAAAAAAATAAATGGATACCTAGTTATGGGAAGGAGGAAGTAATTCATCTTCAATTTGATTGTTTGAGTTTGTTTAGAATTGTGATTTAAATTTTATTTTATTTTATGTATTTTTTATGTGAGATATAGAAAATTGTCATGATAATATAAAAAATAATATTTTATGTTTTAACAAAAAAAAAAATAAAATGGAAACATAAAAGGAAGAAAATGATAATCCAAAGTTAATTTTTTTTAATAATATTTTTTTGTTAATAAAACTTTTTTACATATAATTATATCTTTTTACATTATTAAATCAAATATAGTATTTCTTATTAAAAACATTGTGTGCAAATACAACCAATCTTTTTATTTGGTTTTTTATTCTCTAAAGAACCAAAAAAAATAAAATACTCTTTTTCAATAAGTTTAAATGTATCAATATTTTCAAATGGTAAAAATTAAAAAAACAGTTTAATTTACTAAAATGGCAATAAGAAAATAGAAAAAAATTACTTTAATTACTAAAATGAAAAAAAGAAAATAGAAAAAATTAGTTTAATTTACTAAAATGGCAAAAAGATAGAAAAAAATTACTTTAATTACTAAAATGAAAAAAAGAAAATAGAAAAAATTAGTTTAATTTACTAAAATGGCAAAAAGATAGAAAAAAATTACTTTAATTTACAAAAATGGCTAAAAGAAAAAATTAAAAATTTATTTTAATTTACAAAAATGGCAAAAAGAAAAAATTAAAAAATTACTTTAATCTAAGATGAGATCCATCCTACTAGTCTAAAACCCACCTCCACAATCATTCAACAATATACCATAATGCATCTTCAAATTGATTGAAGAGTTTGTTTGTTTAGAGTTTTCAAATGAAATTTTGTTTTGACGCGAATTATAAGAAATTGTGTCGGTAATATAAAAAATAATCCCCATTCGTCTCAATACAATAGTCCTGTTTATCCTTTTTGTCCGTCCCAAAACAATAGTATAATTTTCATAAATAACTGTATCACTATAAAACTACTCTTACTTTTTCATTATTATTACACAATTGCCATTACTTTTTACACTAATACACTCACAAAGGTAAAAAGGTCTTTTACCCGTACTTTTTACCCACTACCAATATAATATCAATATTCCTTAAATTCCGTGCCAAACACAACCCAGACCATAGTTTTGGGACGGAGGGAGTATTTCATATTGAATGTTGATTTTTGTAAGATGATAATATATTGAGAATCGTATTGAAAAACAAAAAAAAAGGTATGCGGACAGACAATTCTCTCATCATTCTTAACATGAAAATTCTCGACCATTGTTGTCTTTGCTTCGAAATTCCGGGAACTTTGCTTCGAAACTCCGGGGATTTTGCTTTGACAGAACCAAGTGCTCTACATTGTGCCGAAGAGAAGGATATGAAGACGGAGACTGCAAGGGATTCATCCCGCAGAAATGTTACCGCACGAAGCATTGTTAGTTGATTAGTTAATATTGAGTTTGGTTGTTTAGGGCTTTGATTTGGATTTTGTTTTTATGTGAAATATAAGAAATTGTATCGAAAAAAAAAAATTGCGGGGCAAACGACCCGTCATGAGAATTAAATAAAACATATATCCTATATGTTAGAGGAAATTTATATGTTAAATTATCATATAATTCTAATGCTTCAAATAGGACAATCCCAATAATGAATTATCATATTTGTAATTATTGATTAGAATCTGAAGTTGGAGGAATATAAGAAGAATCAAAATTTGGTTGGAAAAATTTAGAGGGAGAAAAGGATTCAGAATTTGAGATCAATTAATTCACCTCTAAATTATACTAAAACACTATTTCTTATTTAAAATATATATATATATATATATATATATATAAAACTATACATAGAAGTGTGGACATACAAAATCCTAACCACAACACGGGCGTGTTATGTGTAATCTAAGAACTAACACACATATGTATATATATATATATACATACATACTAATTGCCTACAGAGATAGGGCGGTGCAAGCCGAGCGGCGAGCCGGAGCGGTGGCGGCGGCGGGTGATCTGCGGCGGCGGCGGCGGCGGCACCTGAAGCGCCGGCCGGTTAATCTTCTCGATCTCGAGCTTTATTCGTCTGACTTGGCTGTGAATTCCCATTTCTTTGTCCGAACCTACGACGAAATCGAAGCTTCCATTCTGCCTCTTCTCCTCCATATTAATTAATCAACACCTGTGAGATCATTTGAATTTTGAACCAACCCTGTAAGAAGATATATATATATATGTATGTATAATTGATTAATCAATTGTGAATTGGTGAGCTACTAGGAAGATTGCCAATCTGAATTTTATTTTATATTATTTGATTAAAATTAATTTAGAAATGTGATGGCGTTTGGGGGAAAGTGCGAATATCTTTTACAAGGAGATCTTTTAGTGGGAAATGATGTTGACCAATGGAGTGGGGTTACGTGGGAGTTTATGATTGGGTAGCCGAGATGACGTGGAATGGAGATGTCAAAATTTGATTGTCCGGCCACCGACTCCTCCCAAGTTCTATTATTGGTTTGCGTCAACCAATCAGAGATCGACACGTCGCACACTGATTGCTTTTATTATAAACTTGTTTTTTATTTCTGTGTTTCGGATTTTTATCCTTTTTGCTTACCTTTTTATGCTGTTAATTTTTGGTGTGTTCCTTTCAAAGTTTTTCAACAATTTTTTTTTTCCAATAAATTAAATATTTATTTGTTATTATAATAAAAATTATTTTTACATTCAAATGTCGTAACAACACCTATTTATATTGCATCTTACAATTATTTAAATACAAATTTTTTATTATTTAAATAACAATTCAAAATTCAAACATCCAAACAAATACACAAATATACGGTGAGTGACGTCACTGTATCCAGAAGATTCTGTAATAATGATCGGAGGCGGTTAAGTGGCGGGTGCCATCAAACTTCGCCCACTCGATTATTCTAATTTGGCCGCCTTATCAATATGTAGTATATATATTTTTGAACTAATGGTCAGTATAAGTGTTGAATTAAAAATTTTTATTTTATTTTATTGTATTTTTGAATTGACTTAATATTTAATTTAATGTTAATATTTTAAAAATTAATTGTGACATTAAAACATGCAAAACCGTTTTACATAAGAATAATTGGTCTCATTATTTGGGCTGTTGGGCCGTCCACTATGTGGACCGAAGTTCTTAAAAGCCCTAAATTTAGCCTAAAATAGATTTTTATATATTTATTTATTATTTTTAGTATTAAAAAACGGGTAAATTATATAACACATTGTTGTGTTTTACTAAAAATGTACAAAACTGTGTTTTATTTATTGTTCGTGTTAATGGAAAGTTTGCACGAAACACTCTTCTATCCAAAACTAATGTTTGGTTCGAAATAAAGATCTAAATTAAATAAGTTTTATACAAATAAAGAACGTAAAATATTTTAAATAATTTTTTTGTATTAAATAAATAAATAAATAATTTATTAATCCTTCCTTTTATAGTTTTTGGAGACAAATCTAAATGATTGATCAATTATTTATTTATTTATTTAATACAAAAAAAATTATTTAAGATGTTTTGCGTTTTTTATTTGTATAAAACTTCTTAATTTAGATATTCTGCGTTTAATCCCTCGAGGGATTTTATGAAACTACGAGGAAGTTTAGCTTAATTTTTTTTTTAATTCGGAAGATTTGGGAGATTTGACGCAATTTCGTGAAACTACAAGTGGATTTTGTGCAATTCAGGTTAATTTTTATTTATTATTTTACACTAAAATTTAATTTTATATTTAAAACATCATATTACCACATATTTATATTACATTAAACAACTTTCACAATTTTGTACTTTACATAGTATTATTTTTACTGTAATAAGAATAACTTTTTTTTTAAAGAGATAAAAAAATAACAAATTAATACTTTTAGTTGTAAAAATATACTTTCTCCGTCTTAATTTGAAATACTCCCTCCGTCTCAAACACCGTGCAACATTTGTGTTTAACATGTACATTTAGATGAGAAGTATTAAGTATAGTAATTTAAAATAATTTGGATATTAAGTGATGTGATTGGAGAGAGAAATGATTATTTATTTTTTTTATTTGAGTGATATGATGAGATAAAGTGAAGTGTACATATGCATATAAATATTATTAATTATTTTTAAATTTAAAAATATTGCAGTGAGTTTAGGACAAACAAAAAAGGAAATGTTGCAGGGTGTTTGGGATGGAGGGAGTACTATTTTTATTATTTTTGTCCGTCCTACGGAAAAAACATCCATTTTTAAAAGTAAAAATAATTATATAGTAATACCAATTTTTTTAAAAAAAAATTACAAACCTACAATTACACATACAATTTATTTATACAAAAGATCAAAATATTTTACATACTTTCTCTGATAAATAACAAATTATTATTTTTTAATTTAGTATAAAATCCATCGAAAAAGTCTTTTAAAAGGGACATAGGAAGTATATTTTATTATTGAATGTATAAATGTTCAACTTCATGTCTATATTTTAACAATTTTATAACATAATTTGAGCAAATCTACATAATCATCAAATAGTTCATTACGTGGTTCTACTTCAACGTTTCGCTTTACGATTTTACAATAGTCCCTCGATCTCTTACTAATTTATCAATTTTTTTTTGGTCTATTTCGTATCTATTTTTTTTTAAGTAAATGTATTATCTATTTAACATTATAAATGCACTTCCAATTTATAATATATTACAAAAATATCATTATATATATATTATACAATACTGATAAATTAATTTAGTATTTTTATCTTTATTTTTACTATATTCAAATGTAATACTAGAAAAACAAAAATATGAAAGGAAGGGAGTATAATTTACCGTACAACAGTATAATTTTAAAATAAAATAACATATAAACAATCTCTTATTTATTTATTAATAAAATATATCCCAAGTTGGGTTCGGTTTGCATATATAAGCGAAGAGGCGGGCATGGCTTAATTCTTTCCTTACTTATTTATCCACAATTTTAAGCTTCCCGGAACTCAAATGGCCATCACTCTCCTCAACTGAAATTTCTCCACTTTTCGCATCGCACAATCGAAAACCCAACCAGACCAAACCCTCCCCACCTTTCCCCCTCATACAGGCTTCCCAGAAACGCCATTCTTTGATTCGGTTCCCAATCAATTTTGTCCGTCTGTAATTGCTGCGAGAGATTAAATGGGTACTGAAGGGTCATCTGCGGTCGTGGGTAAGCAGCTAGCTCCACTTCTCGTTTTCGAACTGTTCTTTCGTCAATTTTGTTGGTCTGACCTAATTTCTGCGGATCAAGTCAATTAGAGTCTGTTGTTTTGTGTCTGTGGTTTTGGCGATGGTTTGGATTGTTCAAATTGGGGGAATTAGGGTTCCTGCGGTTGCTTTATCTGCTGCGGCTATTGATGTTAATTGTCTCGTTTGTTTTCATCGTGATTCTGTCTTTTTACGCTTTCTGCTCATGGATCGTATTTTGATTGTTGATATGGCATTCGATTTTGTGTGAACGAACTGTGTTCTAGCAGGAATTGCGCGGTAGGGGAAATGACTGAGGCCTATCGAATAGCTGCTAGGGTTTGAAATCCATGAATTTGTATAGAAATGAAGAGATTTCAGTTAGGTTGAAGTTCATCACCACACCTCACTTGATTCAATTAGGCCTTAGTTTCAATTAGTGAATGATTAGAACAGTAAAGTAACTACAATTAGTGAGTAAATGTCCAGTGATTTTGTGCACCTCTGCCTGATTTTGCTCGGCATAGCCGACGAATTACCACTTTGTGTATCTTTTGGTGGGCATTTGTTAGTCTTTGACAAGGAAATGGAAGGTACCTCGATAGCTTAAGGGTTCGACTTTGTGTGAATCTTAAGGTTGAAGATGATAACATTAGTAAGTGGCTAAGTGCAAACAATGATTTGAATCTAAGATACTTATCTTTCTCAGATGGATCTACTCGGATATAATTTTATTTTGCATCGAATGAAGTATATATTCCCTCCATCCACGATATATATTTATATATATATATATATATATGTGTTCATTTGAGCTGGATACGAATTTTGAATATAGTATTATATTGATTGATTGTAACATGAAGTAGAGACATTTTGAAAAGTATATGAGTGAGTTAATGAGTTGCAAGAAAATTTTAGAGAAATTGAGTGTTTAAAGATTGTGCCATATTTGTAAATAAGTCTAATGTTGAAGGGTGTAAGTTAAGGAGAGTGTAAGAATGTTTTGTTCTAAATGGAAAGTCTATGTTTTGTTTTTTATGGACAGACAAAAAAAGACAACCAACATATATTTAGTGAACAAAGGGAATGTATATTTTATTTTTTATGAAATTTAAGATATGAAAGGCTGTAGTTTGGTTCCATAACGAAATATGTACTTGGATTCCGAAAGTTATGTTTTTTTTTTCTTTTTTTAATTCCAAATTTTGTGGAGTCAAACGGAAACTAGCGACATTTGCCAAAGTCACTATAAGATGAACTATCTAATTTCCCCCCTGCATAGTGTGGGTCGGGAGTAAAATATCTTGGAGGGTTTAAATTATGTTATTTATGTGAATAAATGATATAATGTGTGTTCAAGAAGGTTATGGTAGTTGCACTATATTTTACCACGCCGTTTACAATATTTGGCGAGATCTACAGTGATTGTGACGAAAAAAGTTTCTGTCAGTGCCAAGAAATTTCCGATTGTTGGAAGAGCTCGAGAGGGGAGAAAAAGGAATCGGGGATGGCACTGTGAGCTATGGCATGGACGATGCTGAGGATGTGTACATGCAATCGTGGACAGGAACCATCATCGGACCCCCTAATGTTAGTTTTATTTTTATTTTTATTTTTTCATGTATATACAGCATATCTATATATATATATATGTTGTTCATTGTAGAAGTTAGAATGATGGATGAATGTGCAGACTGTACACGAAGGGCGCATCTACCAGTTAAAATTGTTCTGCGGGAAGGAGTACCCGGATGATCCCCCAACCGTAAAGTTCCAGTCTCGGATAAACATGAGCTGCGTCAATCAGGAAACTGGCATGGTAAGCGCCCACACGAATCTTCCAGTTGCACACACTAGTTGTCTTACACAATTGTTGCAGGTCGAGCCCGGCCTTTTCCCCATGCTCGCCGATTGGCAAAGGGAATATACGATGGAGGATATACTTATGCAGTTGAAGAAAGAAATGATGTCTCCCCAAAACCGTAAATTGGCTCAACCTCCCGACGGTAGATATTTTTTTTTTATTTTTCGTGCGCACACACACATATCCGATTAAAAAAAACTTATTGATCTATACATGTATTTGTTTGCCTACAGGCAACGAGGATGGTCGAGTGGACCAAAAGGGGATAACGTTGAGATGCTGCATCCTGTGATCGATGGATCGATTGAGTGACGGTAAAATTACTTGCTTGCATAGTAATTATAAAGTGTAAAATTTGGTTAATCTCTGGTTGTCTTGTAGGATTAGGAGTGTTTTTATTGGTATAGTATATAGTATGTTTGATCTGATTTGTGGTCGTCATCGTCTTACTGAGTTCTGTGGATCTATTATATGAAAATTCTCACCTATATAATAATTTGTATCTATATATATATATATATGCATGATTGAAGTTAAAGGTTTGCAATATAATATATCAGCATATATTTTTCCGAGATGATAGCAGGAAGAATTGCATATATATATATATATATATTTTTTTTTGAAGTTTTGGAATTTTGTAAAATTTTGGAATAGTAAAACATTTAACCCAATAAACATATATAGAAAAAGGTGGTCCCGTAAGGGAAGGCTCAGTGGTGTAGGGGTTGGACTTGTGACCGTGAGGTCATGGGTTGAACCTGGTTTGCCGGATATTAGGTTCGGCCGGACGTGTACCCAGTGCGTATTTTCGGGTAGCGGCTGCGGGTTCTCTAGTCGTAAAAATTTTAAAGTTTTTACTATTTTAGTATTTTGGTATTTGAGTTTGTTATAACTACAATATTGAGTTAAATACGGCTTAAAATATTTATATTATGCGTCAACATATGCATGATCAAAATATTCTTTTTATTTATTGCAATCATGATTTTGAGTTTAAAATTTCTTTGAAGTAAACATAAATGTTTAATTGTGATATATTAGTACATGGTATGAGAAGAAAATTGTACATCATTGATCTAACTCGGATTAGGGAGCAAATTTTTTTTGCACTTTATTTTATTTTACTATTAAATATTTATGCTTTTTTTTTTAATAAAAATATATTATTATTATTATTATTTTCAAAAATATTACAAAATACTTTTTAAACCAAAATTGAAACAAAAAACTCCAAACAACTCACAAAAATAACATAAAATTTAATAAAAATAACATAAAAAAAATCAATAGCAAAACTTTTCATATTATATCATTATAATGATATATATTTACGAACTTTTAATACATCTTATTGAATATTTATGTTTTAATTTATAATATTAAATTCAAAACTTATTTGATATAAACAATTATACTCCATTTAATTTTTTCTATTATTATTGAAAAATAATTTTAATATACTCAAAATACAAACAAACACAGAGTATAAATGCATCATAGTATTTCATGTGTATTTAGTCATATATATTACGTAATATTTATGTTATAAATACACTAAAAAGTAAACATGTAATTACTATGGTGGATGTGCTTTGTGTTTCACCTCTATATATCTTTCTACTATATATATATATATAATCCATAATTATTTTATTTATTTTCCGCTTAAAGGCAATATTTTACATAAAAAAAGCTTTAAATTGAAAACACCCAAAATCACTTGCATGTATACAATTAATGATAAAAATGATTCTAATATTGTTATACGTGTACATGTATTTTTATTAAAAAAATCGTAAAAATTATATATATATATATATATGAATATAGTTATATTCTTTTTTTATCTTTAGAGTTTGTCTTGATAGCTTTTGAATATGCAAAATTTAAAAAGCAGCATAGAATATATCTGCATGGTGCCTTCTACACTTTATTTATTCACTTCAATGAAAACACTGAAATTGTTTAATTAAAAAATCGAAATTTTTTACACATATATTTCAGTATGTATATATTTTTATCTATACTTTTTTTTTTTTTAATAAAAATATACTATTCCAACTACTATATAAACACAAAACAAAATATTGAGCCAAAATAAATGAAATACTGGAAAATAGCATTTTTTTTTAAATTTTTTTATTTTCTTTCACACATTTTCTAAAAAACATAATATATTATACACATCTATTAGTTTAATGTTCTCTGCACACTTCCATATACTTCGCATAAAACTTTTTACTTTTCAACAATATCACAAAATAATGATACAGGGTGATTGTGTTTTCAAAATTAATTTAATTTTAGAAATTAATTATCAACCATATTAGCAATTATAAAAGTGTACTTTTTAATCATCAGTAGTCTTTCCACTTTGTTCTTTCAACACTATTTTTCAATTGTGATTTAGAAAAATAATACTTCCTCAATCTCTTAACAATCTATCAATTTTTCTATTTTCGTCTGTTCCATAACAAAATATCAATTTTTTTTAGTAATTGTACTGTCTACCTAACATTACAAATACCCTTCTAATTTATAATATTATGTTACACAAATATCATTACTTTTATATTATACAATACTAATAAGGGCAATTTATTCTTTTTACCTTTATTTATACTATATTTTAATTTAATACTAATATTTCTAAAACTCTGTTAAAAAGTAAATAAATACATAGATATGAGATGAAAGGAGTAATAAAAAACATAATATTTTATACAAAAGCCAAAATACTTATAAAAAAAGTCAAAGTCAAATATTCAACTTAAAAGATAAAATATTTTATATTTTTAACATAATTCTATATACCATATACCAATAATTATTTCTTGCAAAAACCCTTGGTCAATATTTTACTTAAATTTTATCCTTTTCAATTTGATGTTATGGAGGGATATTTTTTTAATTTTTTATTACTATTATTTTTTTCAGAATAATAAAAAACCTAAAGGTTGTATTCTTTTGTGGGTTTTTTACCACAGATTTTTAGTATGCAGATTCTTTTTTCCTTAAAAAATATCACATCAGACAATTTCTTTTATTTTTATTATACTATTATATTATAAATTTATTTTACATTCAAAATATCACATCAACTTCTATTAATATCATATAAAAAAACTATTCAAATTCAACTTTTTATTATTAAAAAAATCCAAATAAAAAAAATAAAACCCACATGCAAACGCACCCAAAAATTTCACAACCAAACACAGTCATATTCCCCATGCATTCATATCAACCTCCATTGAAACTACTCTCCAATCTCTCTCTATCTCAGAGACGCCATGAACGTACGGACCAAAGCTCTCTGTTCATCCCAGACTGTTCTCATTTTCGTGACAGTGACGACCTTCTCCTCCTACTTGGCATCTTCGTCTCTACACACCATCATCTACGTCGGCTGCTCCGACGTCAAGTACAATCCCGCCGCCGCCGCCGCCTACGCCTCCAACCTCGATTTCCTACTCTCCTCAATAGCCAAATCCGCCGCCGCCTCCGCCTACAACGCCTTCAACATTTCAATCCCCGGCGGCGGCGCCGCCGTCTACGGCGTCTTCCAGTGTCGCGGCGACCTAAGCGCCGCCGACTGCCGGCGCTGCGTTTCTCACGCGGTCACACGGCTCGGGACGGCCTGCGCCGGCTCCGGGGCCGGCGCGGCGGCCGGCGCGGCGCAGCTGGAGGGGTGCTTCGTGAGGTACGATGACGTGGCGTTTGTGGGAGTGGAGGACAAGAGTGTGGTCTCCGATAAATGTGGACCGTCGGATGACAAGGAGCCGTTGAGAGCGAGAGATGCTGCGCTGGCGTATCTGACGGCTGGGAATGAGTATTTTAGAGTGAGTGGGTCCGGGAAATACCAAGGCGTGGCGCAGTGCGTGGAGGATCTGAACGGAATGGACTGCCAGGATTGTCTGGTGGAGGCAATCCAACGGTTGAAAACTCAGTGCGCGTGGTCAACTTCTGGCGACATGTTCTTGGGCAAGTGTTACGCGCGGTTCTCCTCGCGCGGGCTCATACCCAAACCCCGTAAGTTGCGCCAATTTATTTATCCACCGAGGTGGTGTTTGTTTGAGAGTTTAAATTTTGAGTTGTGATTTTAATAATTTCTCCATCATATTGAAATATTATTATTTTTTATTTTTATTCGTTTTAAAATAAAATTATAATATTTTAATTTAGTAATTGTAAACTTACTTAATATAATATATACAGTTTCAATTTATATTATATTACACAAATATCATTATTTTTATATTACATAATACTAATAGGGGTATTTTCGTCTTTTTCACTACAACTTATTATAATATTAATATTAAAAAATCTACGTTCAAAAAGTAAACGACAACCTTGCACCGGGACGGAGGGAGTAGTAAAATTTTGAATTAAAATAGTTATATGATGTGATATAAGTAGGTGTTGATTTGATATTTTGAATCTAAAATTGTTTTTTAGGAATATAATATAAAAAAAATAAAAATTAAATATTTGATTTGATATTTTTGAAAAAAAAAATGATTAATAATAGAAATCTTGAAAAATCCTCCAAAATAACACACCCGTAAATTTATGATAATTTCATCTGATACTAAATAAAATTTTTTATACTATACGTTGTTTTAATATCAAACTTAAATTAAAAATTTTCAAACTAAATAAAAAGGAACACACCTTAATTCTTTTACTTTTTTATTTTATTATTTATTTATTTATAATAATATAAAAAGGATAATATCTATCATAGTAAAAAAGACAATACTCCCCCGTCTCATAACAAAGTATCAATTTTTTCATTTTAATCCGTTTTATAATAAAGTATTCATTTCATTTTTTTTTTTGTAACTGTACTATCTATCTAACATTACAAATATCTTACAACTTACAATATATTACACAAATGTCATTACCTTTATATCATGCATATTAATAAGATTATTTTAGTCATTTCTACTTTATTTCTACAATATCCTAATATAATACTAATATTTTTAAAACTACATATAAAAAACAAATGAATATCTAGTTATTATGAGATGAGGAAATATAATTTATAATTAAATTCAACAAGTATTATATATTTTTATTTAACACTTTCGGTGCTATTTGTGTTTGTATTTATACTGTATGCTGACAATCTTTTTATAATATGCTGCTGTAGTGTGCTGATTTTTCACATTTATTATTTATCTTGTATAGTTTTTAAATATAATATTATCAAATCTTATATTAAAATTTATGCTCACATTACCATTCCAATTTCAAACTAAAAGTAAACAAACCCATGATATTTGTTGAATTATTTTACCCATTATTATTATTATTATTATTATTATTAATGTATGTATGTATGCTTGCAGGGAATACAAACGAAATGAACAAAACGCTAGCAATATTTGTTGGAATAGTTATGGGAATTGCAATTCTTATTATCATACTTTCTATTCTCAGAAGCATTTATGGCACCAAAAGGTAATATATATATATATATATATATATATTTATTTATAATTAATTAATTAAATAAATAGTGTATTAAGTAGTAACTAATGAACAGCTAACATTGTACACACACATTTACGCTGCATGTATTAGTATTACAACAAATGTTCTTCCCTTTTCGACTAAAGAAAATGATTGAAATATTAATGTTATATCCAGATTAATTAGATTTGAATTTATCGAATCTATTTTGTATCGCCTATATACTCCTTATTTTGATGATCAATAAAATAATCTTATTATTTTCCCCCAAAATTTATAACAGATGACGCATCTTGGCTTTCTTCAACCCCAGCTTCTTCCTCTAGACTAACGATTGCCTTGAAGGTATTCCTGCAAGAATCGTTATAGGATGATACTAAATCATTCACATTTAGCAATTTGATTTAGTGTACGCGTAAATAAAAAATATCCTTAGAAGCAATATGGTGTTACTTCATCGGAGTTTTGATCAAATCACAAATGGCGATCAAAAGGATGAAGAAATGCTGATCTAACTACGAACATAAACTGGTCACAAAATCAACGAGGCCTTCAAGCACGGTTTATCCTCAGTGGCACACAGCACTGGTGTGTTTGTGTTATATTAATATAAATGATGTGGTGCCAATAATAATTTCATATGCTTTTTGCAGATTTATTGGGTGTAGTTCAGCATAGTCCTGAATTTAATACTCTCTCCATTCCATATCTATATATCCCTTTACTTTTTGCATGGAGTTTTAGAAATATTAGTATTATATTGGAATGTAGTAGAATCAAAAGTAAAAAAGACTAAATTAACCTTATTAAGTATTGTATGATATAAAATTAATGACATTTGTGCAATATATTGTAAATTGTAAGGATATTTGTAATGTTAGGTAAATTATACAATTTTTTAAAAAAGAAATGAATACTTTGTTATGGGGATAAACCAAAATGAAAAAATAGATAAATTGTTGGACGAAAGGGAATAATATTTTATTAAAAACCATGCAGAGTGTAGTAATGATTTAAAATTAAAATCACAACCATCAATTTTATCCTCTCTCTATATATTTTTACTTATAAAAATATATCCCACACTTTTAAAAAATTGCGATTTGGTATTTCGGATGCCCGAAAACATGTCTTGAATCTTACTTCCGCGCCATATCCACACTCTAGAAAAATTGTAAAAAATATCTCACACGTATACCTCATTATCACTTTTGTCATATAGACAAAATATATTCTATATGTTTGCAAAAGTTGCGCGTAACATTCACACCATGCGCAACCAAATAATAGAAATAACGACTTTTGCAAACCAAACCTGTAAAATATATTTTGCCAACGATAAATACATTAAAAAAAATGATAATAGGGTGCAAATATGTAATATTTTTTGCAATTTTCTCCTCACACTCTTCAGCAAATGAATTAATGACATGTGGTAAACTTTTCAATAAAACATATCCAACACTTTAAATAGTTATTTATATATTTTATTTTTTAATGTAATAATAATTTCTTATTTATTATTTTATATATAAGGTTACATATATATTCTATTGTAACTTTAATTATAATTTATTTTTTTATTAGTATATTTAATTTTTGATTAATTTATCCCGTCATTCAAATCCATATTTATTTATTTTTAGATTGTCATGAAAAAGATATTCTCCTTTCTTTCTTTTAGCAAAAAATACATTATCTTTTTGTATTTATTTACTATAAAAAAAACAAAAAATAACAATTATTATTCACTTTTATTAAAACATGTATCCAAATATTTGAGTACACATTTTGACTATGGAGAGGGCATACATATTCCTTCAAATTTAATTTTTTAAGTGAGACATCATTTAACATCATCTAACATGATATCAGAATCATATATTTTAGCCTTACGGAAACATACATTATATATCGCGACAACAACAACGTCGCACAGATAGAAACCTCGCGAACAATGCACAACTTATTTATTTATTTTGTAATCTTAGCGATAGATAATTATTTATTTAATTTGGATGAGTGTCGAGATGGTAAGCCTCGATGTATTTGGTTATGCGAATAACTTGTTCGAGCAACGGGATAGGGTCCGGGGTGTCGTGGTTTGGCTTCTCGTATTCTAGAAGCCACGTGACAACGTGCGAATCGTCGAGTCTAACGGATGTAGTAAAAGCGTTGTTGGTTTCCAACAAAATGCCATCGATCGCAGTGAATTTAACACTCTTTTTTTCATCATCTACCTCAACTGATTCTATCGACTTCATCTCAATTCCACCTGCATTTATTTACCCGTCCATCCTTACATATATGTATAATAATAAATTATACTCCCTCCGTCCACAAAATAAGTATACATTTACTTTTGGCGCGGAGATTAAGGAATAATAATATTTTAATTATAGTAAGTAGGTAAAAGTAGTGAAATGATATTTTTGCCCTTACTTTTTTGGTATAAAAGTAATGATGTGATGTATATTAGGGGTATTTATGGAAAAAATGGGGTATTTAATGAAATGGTTACTTTGTAATTGGACGTCCCAAAATAGAAACATGTATACTTTCTAACTGGACGGAGGGAGTACTACATCCGTCTGACTCTAAGGGTCTCATTTATTTTTTATGTTTTGATATTTTAATATTAATTATTATATCAAAACGTAGTACAAATTAATAAAAAATTGCAAAAATACTTTCATTAGTGTCTTATTATACTAATAAAATGATACTTGTACAAAAAATTATACAAATATAAAAATATTTTTAATGTTAAGCATAATGGCGCAAAAAATAAATGCGACCCTCAGAGGTAGACGAAGAGAGTAAATGTTTTTTAATTTAAAAATATAAAAGACTCTATTTATATAAAAACAAGCTACACTTATTCTTCAAATAGCCAATTTATTAATTTTCATAAAAAAAAAAAATTTACTTTCTTGAATTATGTTCTATATAAAATATTATACTACTAAACAATTTTATCCTCAAATATAATAAAATAGTTAACATGAATTGACCTATGTGTCACCGCATAACAAATTTACTACTAAACATATTTGTTATTATTTTTTATCATTAACTAGTACTTATTATTTATTATAACCTATTTAAAAATGTCTTATTATAAAGTGTAGTTCATATATAAATTAAGGACATGGAGCAGCAGCTGATTCAATCAAATCAACGTGATATTGATTTAACCGAATCAACATATGTTATAAGGATAATTAACATATATTTATATATATCTCAATATATTTATAATACATTATAATATATTATATTATAATAGTAGATATTATCTTATAATATAATATATATTATACTATATACTAAATATATGTTGACCATCCATATGGTATATGCTGATCAAGTCAAATTAATTTGACTTGTCCAGATCAACAGAGGATCCGCAACCATAAATTATATATATGTTCAAATTTTGACAGGGAGTTTTGGAATTTTTAAGAATGATAAAAAATGAGTATTTAATATGATATTTCACAAAAGAAAAAAAAAACTTTGATAGTATGTTTTTCAAAAAATTATTGTAGATAAATAATACCAAAACAAAAATAATTGTGTGTTGATTATTACCACTAATCAACACTCTAACAACCTCTCTATGTATAGATACTATTTATTCGTGTAAGCTACAAAAATAACAATTAACCTATGAATGCAATAAATAAATAAATAAATAAATAACAAGATAACAAATCAATCCATTAAAATTTTTACATGGTAACTTAAAATATAAAGATGAATTCATCCAAACATAGTATTACCTTTTGTTTTATCATTTTTATTCGTCCGCAATCAATATATTTATTTCCTAACTTTGTAAATTAAATGGCGATTTCAACATAATAATAATAATAAAACATTATTATATTTTATCTAAACCACAAATATCTTATTTTAGTTAATAGACTCTTATACGCTTATCACACACAAAAACAACGATATTCTTTAATCTACATAACAAAAGTAAACGAATACATACAAGTTTCTCAAAAAATGGGATTTTTGAAGAACTTTTTTTTTTTTACTATTCCATGCTTTTCCCCTAATAGCATCGATTAAAATTTTTATTTTTATTTTTATATTATATTAAAAATTAATTCTAGCTAATTACATTCGAAACATTATATTAACGTCTATTTATATATATCTCATCAAATAACTATTTAAATTAAAAAAAATTACTATTCAAAATTCAAACTCTATACCTAAACCCTAAAACAAAAGCACCCGTAAATTCTCTCTCTCTCTCTATATATATATGTATATATATATGTACATACCTTGTAAGTATTTCCATAACACTTTGGAGCCTGGGGATCCATAGGTTCCCTGGAGATATTCGACGCTTTGTATTATATCGGGACAGATTCTGGAAATGTGGTGTGGATTTTGTCTGAACAATTCGTAAAATAATTCTCCATCTGATCTTATCTCAATCTGTGCTGATAATTTGCCCATCAAACCCATACTGATTATATATATTTATTTTGGATGGATATATGTGAGAATTAATAATCGAAAGATCTCATATTTATAGTCGAAGCAGAAACACAAATAGCTCTAATTAGTATATGCGCATTTACTTTTTAGGGTATGACGTGAATTAAATCAGTACGCCCTGTTTGGATTGTTATATTTATTCTCGTTTCATTTTTCAGCAAAAAAAATATTATTTTTTACTTTTTCTTTATCCTAAAAGTAATTTTTTTTTTAATCTATTTTTCTTAAAATATGTACTCAATCAAATAAAAACACAATTGGATGATGAATAAAGTACAATGTTTGAGCTATTTACATGTATTATTAATTTATATGTTGTATTTGTGCTGTGTTAACATAGATCTTGTATTGCTAATTATATATTCTCATATGCTGTCAGTTTATATGCTACTATGATTGTTACTATATATTTTTATCATAATAAAGTTTAATTTTGGTGATTTTAATTTTTCTTCTCTAACAAACCCTAATGCTAAGGTAGAAGGGACAGTGGAATGCGAAAGATAAAGGTAATTGAACGATGAATTATTAGGTATTAACTTAAATTTATTATTTAATAGCGCATGCGCCTCGCATCATATATATATATATATAGGTATATTATATAATAAACAATATATAAGTATATATGATATATATATATATATTTATATGTTATGTTGTGTATGTATATATAGGGTATATTTCTTTAGATGGGTTTAAAAAAAAATTGGTTTAAATTTGATATTAAAATAATGTATGATGAGAGATATTTTGTGAAAGAAAAAAAAAATATTTTTTTCGAAAAATGCAGAGTTCAAATAGTAAAAATCTGGAGTTTTAGGCGAAAGAAACATACGTATAATATTTATGTGTGTTTTATGTATCGATATATAATATTATATGTATATATATATAGTACAATGTTATAAATGAGATGATTGAAGGCAGAGAGAGAATAAATAGATGCAGAATAAATGGATACACGAGAGCAGATTGACGAGGAATTGATTGCATTTTATTGTGATTTACAGCCTATATCTATAGGCAAATTGAAAGAACAAAAATTGTAGCATTTTAATAGTCCAGGTAGCATCCACAATGTTACTACACAATATATATGCATATGCATTGTAATACAACAAGGTATGCATTATTAATTGGCTCGGAGAATTATTAGCCCTATTTAAATAATGTGTCTCACGTATGATCAAGAATTAATATTGCGAAAAAAAAAAAAATCATCATTATTAACTAAATAAAAATATATAAATATATAAACACATTGTATTTTTAAATGTCATAATTTCTTAGAAGGGATCTGCACGGATTTGCTTTTGGATATCCTTAAAAAGGCCTCGTATTAGTGGAGTTCACTTCAGACTTATAAGGTGTGAAATTTTCTTCATAATTTCAGATGTGTGACTTGAGTTTGAACCCCAACAAAATAAAATATAAGTGTTTGATTTAATATTTTTCGGAAAAAATTTTGTATTAATAACTTAAATTCTAAAAATCTTTCAAACAAACACGCCCTAGATGTCATGTTGCATGTATTTATATTCTATCTCACATAATTTGCATCCTATATTTATTAGGTTTGTTTATTTAGTATTTTTAGGTGGTATATATATTTTTTTATAAATATTATTAAAAAAATATAAAATATATTATATGAATTCACATAAAAAAAAAAAAAATTAATAAAAATATTATTTTTTATATTATTAAGACATTTTATGGTACATAAAATAATCTATACATCAAACATCTCCCTCTAAATCATTCATATATATATATATCTATCTTCATTTACATAAACACACACGTGGTTGGGATATATAAATAGGTAGTATTATTATCATATTATATACTAGTTTTGTCTAGCTTTAGCCGTCACAACTATTTTTTTCTGTTTTAATATTTGAATATTAATTCTTATATTAAAATATAGTACAAATCAAAAGAAAATAATAAAAATAATTATATTAGTATCTTATAATACTAATATAATAATATTTGTACAAAAAATTATATAAATATAAATATATTTTTAATGTTAAGTACAATGATGCAAAATGTAAATATAACGAAATTAACGGAGGGAATAATACTACACACGTGTGTGTATATATATATTGTTTTTTTTCTATTATCCAAATTTATATTTATTTTTTTATAATAAATGTGTGAAATATTTATTTTTTAAAATTAAATAGAAAAAATATATTTTTCAATATTGAATTCAATCGAGTGAGATATAGATAGATTAAATAGCAAGTTAATTGTGATTATCTTTTTATTTTTATTATTATTATTTTTGCATAATTTTAATAATTATGGATGTTATCTTATTTTAAATCCATAATTATGGATATTTTAATTTTTTTTTATTATTATATTTCTAATGAATGGACAAGCATTAATATGTTCATTCACTCATATTGACAACCAAAACAATTATTCCTATTCATCATGTTTGCCGACACTTTTTGTGGTGCTGATTTAAGAGGCGTAAAAAATCCAAACTGTGGAGTAACTGTAACTATTAGGATTATCATTTAGATTAAATTTATATTAAATGATTTATAAATTTATTGAAATTAAATGTATTTAGTAAATACGCCTCTTATGTGCAAAAATTCGATAACGTGATGAAACTAATTAATAATAAAAAAATATATATTAGGATTGTGATCACAAATCTAGATACAATATTCATTGCTTTTCATATCTTATCGTGAGAGTAACGGCAGAAACCATAACCGTTTTCTCAGAGTTGCGTCATAAGCTTGAAGATTACAAATCCCTCAATTAATTTGTAAGTCCGAATCTGACTATGTTAATCAATAAAGTTTGATTTATTTGCTTTATTTATATCTCAATTATTTCAACACGACAGATTCTGAACTTAAGGTTTAATTCCTGATAAGTTTTAACATATAGTAATTTTATATTCGATATCGATACAAAAGTATCAGAGCACCATCGGCCTTATTTTATTTTGCAAGGACTTTATCGACTCAACTAAATTCTTTATTTTATTTTCATTATCTCGAACGATACTTATTCTTACACTAACACACACACAGACATATATATATATACACACATATAGATACAAATATACATCGATCTATACGTGTATACAAACATCATATATCATCATCTTGTTCTTCATAATTAAAAGCTTTCGTATGTATTACTTATTATGATATTAATTTAATTTAAAAGTTATTTTTTTTCAAGATGATGAGAGTCGATTTCTTTGGTCATTTGAATGAGAAGTTGCAACAAAGAGATAGGGTCCTCGACGTCGTCGTTTAGCTTCTCGTACTCGAACTCCCACGTGACAAAATGGCTGCTGGCGCCGTTACCGGTGTCTACGCGCACGTGCGCAGTGAAGGTCTTGTAGAGGTCCAACAAATCTCCTTCGACCACCTTCATCGTCACACATTTTTTCTCTTCGTCAACTTCGACTATTTCCTTCGCAACCTTCTCTTTCCCATCTTCAAACAACACATTGTAAAGGGTTTGCTTAGTTTAAGTTTGTGTTTAAATTTGTTATTTAAATAATAATTTGATGATATAATATTATATATATATATATTTTAGAAAATTGCATGATATAAAAATTGAATAAAAAGGAAAAGTTATAAGTAAACTTAAATATATACTCCCCGTCCAGCTAGAAAGTATACATGTTTCTATTTTGGGACATACAATTACAAAGTAACAATTTCATTAAATACCTAATTTTTTCCACAAATACCCCTACTTTACATCACATCATTACTTTTAGACCAAAAAAGTAAGGGCAAAAATGTCATTTCACTACTTTTATCTACCCACTACAATTAAAATACTATTATTCCTTAATCTCCGCACCAAAAGTAAATGTATACTTATTTAGTGGACGGAGGGAGTATAATATTAAAGAGTAACAGCTGCGAGTTTTACGTCATCAATATATATATGCATATAATATTTCATCCGCCTAATTCAAAATATTTTTTTTAGCATTTTTGTTTATTCTATTTCAAAGTATTTATTTTCTATTTTAGAAAAAATAATTATACACTAATACCAATACGTCAACTTTTACCTAAATTACAAACATACCATTACACATACAATTACTTTATATATAAAGTTAAATGACAAAAATATCAAAATATTTTATACACTTTCACTAACCAATAAAATACTATTATTATTTTTTAATTTATAACAATCTCCTAAAGGACCTATTTGATAAAGGACGGAGGGAGTATATAATATATAACATAATTTCAGTTATATAGTGTATATATGTGTATTAGGATTAATTTTAATTAATATTATAGATAATTTTTATGGTTAATTAATTTCATTTAATTAGTTATGTCATGTTATGTCATAAATCATTTTTCACAAGATAGCTATATATAATCTCGTAATTAAAAAAAATAAATCAATGAAAAACTAAAATAATACTTACATAGCTTCTTTTGCTTTTTTATTTCAAAAAAACAATAAAAATACTATTCATGAAGTACGTCTTCAATCAAAATATATAATTTTTTTTTCACAGACTATAACATTAAAATATTATTTAAATCATACATCAAATTGCCACACTAATTCAAATCAAAACCAAACAAACCTTTCTCGTTTGTATTTGTAAGAAAAAAAAAAACAATAATAAAAATAGTTGGTCCGCGTGGGTAATAGAAAGAGCATACCATGTTTATATTTCCAGAAGATCGTAGATCCATGAGTTCCCCAGTCGCCGTCGTGGAGATCACAACTTTGAATTTTGTCGGGTGTGATGCCGGAGACTTGGTGCGGATTGTGGCGCCATAGGTCGTGGAACAAATCTCCGTTTGATTTTATCTCTATTGTTGCCGATAATTTTCCAAACAAACCCATGGAATTAGAAGAACTTCGATCGCTAATCTAAATTATTTTTAGGAAGAGTATCGAACCAATTAAAAGAGAGAGAGAGAGAGAGAGAAATAACAAGTTGTATGAAGAAATTAATGATATTGTTGGTAGAATTATTTGAAGTTTAGGGCCTCTATTTATAATTGAGAAATTTTATATGTTTGAATTGTTTTATTTAATTTTACATAATAAAAAAATGAAAATACAAAATCAATATTTACTCTTACATAATATGTACGCCCGTGTGAAAAAGAAAAATATTAGTCTTCGTTTGGATAAAAATTTTAGAGATTTGAAATTTTTTGAAAATAATACAAGTTTGAAATGTATATTTTTGTTTGATTGTGTTTTTATTCATTTACAGTAATTTTTCTTTTCTTTTTTTTTTTTTCAAAAAATATGACATTATATGTTTATTTTAAATTATTTAATATTTCTCTCCGTGTCACATATGATAAAACATTTGAATATAAGTAGAATAAATTAAAAATTAGGAGATGTGATGAGATGAGAAAAGTGCATTAATTTTTATTATTATTATTTTTTTTTTTTATTTGAGTGATATGATAAAATAAAATATACTTAATTTATTTCATATTTTAAAAATATTACAAAGTATATATGACATACAAAAATAGAAAATATTAAAGAATATGTGAATAATATTAATCATGTATTGTGTTTGTGTATATAAATATTAGCCTATTACATGGTATGAGGATAGCCAAAATTAATTTATATAAAAAATACGATAACTAAATCAAATAAAAAATATTAAATAAACGAATCAAAATTTCATAAATATATATTACAATTTAATTATTCATAATCACTCTTAAATTAAAAATTAAAATAAATTTGAAAGAAATTTGTCTGTCATTTATACATGGTTGTTAGCTTTTAGTAGTGAACAATGTGCAAATAACATACTAAATAATATATATATAATAATGAACAGAAAAACAAACAAATAATATTAAGTAAATTATAAATCAAATAAAACTTATATACTATTTTAAATTCTAAGCTAAGTTAGATATAAAATATTTATTTATAATCTTATTAAATAAAACATTAAAATAAATTTTGAAATAAATTCATATATTTTTATCGCATTTTTTTTTTCTCTTTTATCGCCAGTTTGAAAAGAAACTTTAAACAATATATAAAAAAAATAAATACGTTAACAAAAGTAAAAAAAATATTGAATAATATTAAGTAATAAAAATTATAAATTACAAAATTTATATTTAAAGTGAAATCAAATATAAGTTGAATTAAAATATTTATTAACAAATCATATTAGATAAAAACAAAAGACTCAAAATTTGAATATAATTTCAAATTTTCAACAAAAACAAATCGTATTAAAATAGTAAAATTCTAAATCAAATTAATTAAAAAAAAATATATATAGAATAACAATAAATAAGAATTGATTAGTAAAAAATAACAAATAACAAATAAAACAATGCATACAAAATAAAAATAAAAGTACTAAGATTAAAATATAGTATTCCCCCGTCACATAACAAAATATCTATTTTTCAATTTTAGTCCGTTCCATAGCAAAGTATCCATTTCCTTTTATTTTAGTAATTGTACTATCTACCTAACATTACAAATACTCTTACAACTTACAATATATTACACAAATGTCATTATCTTTCTATCACACATACTAATAAAGTTATTTTAGTCATTTCTATTTTATTCTTACTATATCCCAATATAATATTAATATTTCTAAAACTACGTGCAAAAAGCAAATTGATACTTTTTATGGAACGGATGGAGTAATTTTTATAAATTACTAAAATTGATCTTAATTTTCAGTATGGATTTTTTTGATATTCTTTTAAATAAAATATTCAAAATTTAAATATAATTTACAAATTTAGGGAAAAATATTTTAATATAATATTCAAAATTAAATCAATTGAAAAAATGCATATTAAATAAGAATGAATAAAAAAATTAGTAAAATATAAATATAACACAATATATAATTTAGAAATACATAGATAATAAGAATAAAAATAATAAAATAAAAATATTTATATATGTATATTAAAATTTGCCATAATTTTTTTTATGGTTTCTTTAAATATTTTTTCAAATCAAAAGATTACAAATTTAAACATAATCTAAAATATTGAAAAATATACTATAATATAATAATCGAAATCAAATTAATTAAAAAAACAAATACTTGAAATTAAATGAAAAATATTTTGTTAGTAGAAAATAAAACTAACACAATAGATATTTTAAAAAATACATATACAATAATAATGGAATTATAATTAGTAAATACATAATAAGAATGAAAAATATTTTATTAGTACTCCCTCCGTCCTTGCAGAAAGTATACAAATTTCTATTTTGGGACGTCTAATTATAAAGCAATCATTTCATTAAATACTCAATTTTTTTCATAAATACTCATACTTTACATCATATCATTACTTTTATACCAAAAAAGTAAGAACAAAAATGTCATTACACTACTTTCACTTACCCATTGTAACTCCGCACCAAAAGTAAATGTATACTTTTACTTGGACGGAGGGAGTATAAAATAAGAATAACACAACAGATAATTTTAAAAGAATACATATACAATAATAATGAAGTATTAGAATATTATACTGAAAATTAAATAAATTAGTAAATAAATATATAATAAGAATAAAAAGAATATATTAGTAGAAAATTAAAATTAATTTAATAATATTATTATACTTAATAAAATAAAATAAATAAACAAAAAGAGAAAAAAAAATACTATATTTGATTTTATTTTTCTTTCTCTTCTATTTTATTTTTCTTTTCATTCTTTTCTTCTCTCTTTTTTCTTTGAGATTTTTTTTTTTTTTTCATCATAGTATGGATAAAAAAATTGATTAGTAAAATTTTTTATATAATTTAAAATTTATTAGTCAGATAAAACAAATTTATTATAAAATTTTCATGTGGAAAAACATTTACTTTGAACGATAACAAATTATATATGTAAATAAAATGCGAAAAAAAATAATCACGTGAAAACCTTTCTAGGTAAAAAAAATAAAAAAAATCAGCCGTTGTCCAAACCAAAAGTAAAAAATTAAAATATAAGAGTTTTTTTAAGAATACATATAAATATGTTCAATCATTATTAAATCAACCAACAAAAACAATCAATTTAAGAAAAATAAAGATAAAAAATCAAACCTAAAAACTTTATCGTTCTGGTCGAACTACATGTATCCTAACTAATAATAAACGCAACGAACTACGAACACTTCTTGAAAATTTCTGATTGATCCGACGGTCAATGAAGCGGAATCACTGTTGGATGAAAATCTCATAATAATTTTTGTTGGGGCGACTTTGATTTAATCCCTTACGTATATATAAATATACAAAACTCTAATTTTATACATATCTTTATTATTTATTATCTTGATAATTTTGGATTTTGTTAGATTAGTACGGGTTATCCTAATAAATTTTAACTAATTATTCAAACTTATTATTTAAAAAATAAAATTTTTTTAAAATTATGAGAGTGCACGAATTAAAATGTCTTGTACTATATATATATATTAATTATTGAGTTGATATATATTAATGATGCATTGTTGAACTGATTCAAATATTCTACTTGCTCCCTCCCTTAAAATTAGCCCATTTGGATTCGGCGCATGAATTAAGAAAAATGAAATTTTTTTTTTTTGAAAATTTAGTTAAAAAGTAAAGTAAATGAAGAGAGAATGCAATGCAGTGTTACAAATAAATATTGAATGGAGGGTAATAATTGATTGGTTAACTTTGTTAAAATTAGTAATGGGATAAATTTAGTGGACGGACTAAAAAAGAAAGTGAGAATAAATTTGGCGGACGAAGGGACTAATTTATTTTACCAAATAGTGATGAATAATACTCCCTCCGTCCCAAACACCCTGCAACATTTCCTTTTTGGTATGTCCCAAACACCTTGCAATATTTTTAAAATAAGAAATAATTAATTATACTTAATCTTTACTCTACCCTTTATCCCCTCATCATCCAAATAAAAAAAATAAAATATATATTTCTATCTCCATCGCATAACTTAATTTCTAAATTATCCTACTTAATACTACTCACCTAAAAACCCGTGCCAAAAGCAAATGTTGCACCTTGTTTGGGACCGAGGGAGTATTAAATAAGTATTTTATGCATATATATGTATATATAACTGATTGAATATTAGCATTATATTATTTGTATCTATATGCATAATATTGTCTAAATATTCTACTTTTTTCGTCTCATAACAAATTATTCATTTTTTCATTTTAATATGTTCTATAACAAAGTATTCATTTAGTAACTATATTATCTACCTAACATTACAAATACCCTTACAACTTGCAATATATTACATAAATGTGATTACATTTATATCAAATATACTAATAAGGTTATTTTAATCATTTATACTTTATTTTTATTATATTTTAATATAATACTAATATTTCTAAAATTACGTAAAAAAAATAAATAGATATTTACTCGTGGAACGAAGAGAGTAAATTAATTTAGTAAATGATGTTGATTCATCAGTTGTTCACCTTATATTTTTTTTATTTTTTTTTGAATAATGTGGGATAATTTTTAGTAAAAAAAAAATATTAGACTAAATATTTATCTTATTTTATAAAGTAACGTACTATCAAATATACAACTATTATTTTACAATTTTTTTAAAACTTCATTTTTTTTTTCAATTTATTTTTTTAATTTTTTTATATTGAAAAGACACAGAACGTTCATATAATGAGAGCCACTCAAACATTTGAACTATTTATTTGATTGGCATTCCAACTACTTCCACTATCAAATGTCGGCTCTCGGACACCATACATGGGATATGACTGAATTTTCATTTGACTGATTTTAGGAGTCCATTTTGGGTTTGATTGTCTGGTTTTGGGATTTTGAGTTGAGATTTGAATAGTAAAAATTTTGAATTTGAATAGTTGTATGATGTGATATGAATAGGTGTTGATGTAATATTTTGAATGTAAAATTAATTTTTAGTATAATATAAAAAATAAAAAATAAATGTTTAATTTAATATTTTTGA